GTTTCCATGGTAACGGTGTCCATTTCGGAAATTCCAACAACAGTTTCAACATTGACTAATATGCCATGTTATATATTCATGAAATTTGTTTCAGTTTGATCTTATTTTCCTTAAGAAAATGCTGCTTTGATGTTTTTTCCCATAGGATCAATGTTAAACTTTTCTCCAGTTTCCATGGCAATGGAAGCCATTTATAAAATTCCAAGTACTGTTGGTACCTCAGGGCACCACTGCCAACATTTACATAAACGTTCAAGAGGTTGCCTCTTATAATGAAAGATTTAGAATTTTAATTTTTTTTTACATTTTTGCAGTTTCCATGGTAACGGACTATTTTGAACCATTCCAATGTTTCTTGCACAACTTCACATGGCGATTCATATTATGGTATAGTTCCATCAACATGGGTCTGACCAATCCCGAGAAATAGCATGGACAAAATGTGTGGAAGAATAAAAATAATAAAAAGAAAAAAAAGAAACGAACAATAACAATATGTCACCCCAACTCCGTTGAGGGTGCCATAATAAAGAAACGGAGGAAAAGCAATATGTCACCCGACATTGTCGTACGGGTGACATAATAAAAATTCGTACAGGTTCCGCGGAACCCAGTGTCTCGCCTACTTTTGCTGTTAATCGCAGGCTCAACAAAAATGAGATGAGGAAAACATTTAATAAAAATATTCCTCTCGATACAATTTTTTTATTGTAAGAAGCTTCTGTCCAAGTTTGGTAAAAATCCAGGATAGTTTATGAATCTAATAAATGTTTTAAAAACTTTAACTGCAGACTGTATGTAATGTTAACTGGATGAAAAACTAAGTCCATTTATAAGTAATATACGGAAAAACAGGAAATTTTTTTTTACAAAATTTCCTTCTAGATACTAGCTTTTGATCATAAACAAGCTTCTGTCCATGTTTGGTACAAATCCAGGATAGTTTAAGAAAGTTATTAAAATTTTAAAAACTTTAACCACAGAGTGAATGTAATGTTTCCTGGCAGAAAAACTAAGTCCATTTGTAAGTAAAATACGGAAAAACGGGATTTTTTTTAAAATTTACTTCTGGATACTATCTTATGATCATAAACAAGCTTCTGTCCAAGTTTGGTAGAAATCTAGGATAGTTTGAGAAAGTTATTAAAATTTTAAAAACTTGAACCACAGAGTGAATGTTATGTTTCCTGGCAGAAAAACTAAGTCCATTTATAAGTAATATACGGAAAAACAGGAATTTATTTTTACAAAATTTACTTCTGGATACTATCTTATGATCATAAACAACCTTCTGTACAAGTTTGGTAGAAATCCAGGATAGTTTAAGAAAGTTATTAAAATTTCAAAAACTTCAACCACAGAGTGAATATTTGTGGACGCCGCCGACGGAATGTAGGATCGCTATGTCTCGCATTTTTCGACAAAAGTCGAAGGCTCAACAAAAATCAAAACCCTGACCACATGCACACCTTCAATATATGTACAAACAGCCAACAAAGTGATAACGTCCTAGCATTCAAACTGTAGGAGGAGTTATCCGGGAAAGCTATGCACCTCTTATGCAAGGAAATACTAAAAAAAATGACAAAGTTCAACTATCTCCAAAAAGAACAAATATCAATAAAAACCAAAACCCTGACCACATGCACACCTTCAATATATGTACAAACAGCCAACAAAGTGGCAACATCCTAGCATTCAAACTGTAGGAGGAGTTATCCGGAAACGCTATGCACCTCTTATGCAAGTATATACTCCAATAAAATGCTCCGCTGGGGCGCAGCTTGATACGACCACAGAGGTCGAACCCTGAACAGTTGGGGCAAGTATGGACATAACATTCAAGCTTGATACAGCACTGAATTTGGATTGTAATTAAATATTTGACACAGCATAGGTTTCTGACACAGAATAAATGTGGTCTAAGAACTTAAAAAATTTTAATTTATCTATTCAAACCATATCATTATTATTTGCTTTTATATATAAATCAGAAATAACCAATTTAAAATGGAAAATTTTAAAGAAAAAAAGGGGAAAAAAAATCCCCCCCCCCAAAAAAAAATTTTTGAACCCCCTTATGATTCATCACCCCCCAAACTCAATCCCAGCCTTCCCTTTGTGGTATGGTACCTTGCAGTACACATACATGTGATGGACTGTGAAACTAAGATCAGGAGTTTTGGAGATTAGGACTCAGATCAGGATGTTTTTAATCGACATAAATTCTGTCGTAAATGTAACCGTGTGCTGTAGAAATTGTCTGTTAAAGTGTGTTTTCTTCAACTTTCCATCCGAATGTATTATGTTTATAGTACCTTTGTACTTATAAATTTTCTCTATCTTTTTAAACTTTCAACTTGTTCAATCTAACATTCTTCTTTTTTAGTATGTTCTTTATAATTTTTTAGGTCATATCTTTCTTACCATTATTCATTGCAATCAAAACCTTTGCTTATCTATCTGCAAGTAGATCTTTTATTTTAATCTTTATGCAAGTAGATTTTTAATGCATGATAAGTAACACAATCAAACTGTAATTAAGGGTCATAGTTATTATATAAATTCCAATTTAAGCCTTGAAAGGAAGTATAGAGCCCTCAAATAATTTTCAAATTATTATTTTTTTATTTGTCCTAAAACATTTAAAATCATTTAATTACCATATTATTATGCTTATTTCTTCAATTTATATTTTATTTATATTCTTTTAAAAATTTACACTATTTAAAGGAAAGTAACTTAAAACAGGATAAATCAAGGGAAGTAACCCAACATTCATTTTAAATAAACAAAGTTTTATTACACAACGGCAGTTAGCCTGAGGTAAAAATCGTTTATTACCAGTATGTTTGACACCCAAGGTGACAAGTGAGGCCATATAATTATGCATGTTAATTGATTTACAGGTAAAATGTAACTTCAGTAATGTCAGTTACACCAGATATGTTGGGCTGAAATTTTTCATTCATGAAATATTTCATACACGGGATTTTTTTGTCTTCAACAGGAGGTCGGGAGGAGACCCCTGAAAACGGGATTATTGTACTCCCGTCGGGAGGTTCACATGTATGAACTGTACAATTTCAGAGATCCATACATTTGAACACAAGTTATTGTCTGGAAACAAGAAAAATGCTTGTTTTTTGGCCCAAAATTCCTAAACATTTAGGGCAATTACCCCAAAACTCAAACCCAGCTTTCCCTTTGTGATATGGAACCTTGCAGTACAATTTCATAAAGATCCATACACTTACACACAAGTTATTGTCCTGAAACTAGAAAAATGCTTGTTTTTTTGCCCCTTTATGGCCCCTAATTCCTCAAATTTCTAGGGAATTACCCCCAAAATCAATCCCAGCCTTCCCTTTGTGGTTTGGTACCTTGCAGTACAATTTCAGAGAGATCCATACACTTGCACACAAGTTATTGTCTGGAAACTAGAAAAATGCTTATTTTTGGCCCCTTTATGGCCCCTTATTCCTAAACGTTGTGGGCAATTACCCCCAAAATCAATTCCAGCTCTCTCTTTGTGATATGGAACCTTGTAGTACAATTTCATAAAGATCCATACACTTACACACAAGTTATTGTAAGGAAACTAGAAAAATGCTTGTTTTTTGCCCCTTTTTTGCCCCTAATTCCTAAAATTTTGAGGCAATTACCCCCAAAATCAATCCCAGCATTCCCTTTGTGATATGGAACCTTATGGTACAATGTCAGAGAGATCCATACACCTACACACAAGTTATTGTCATGAAACTAGAAAAATGCTTGTTTTTTTTCCCTTTTTGGCCCCTAATTCCTAAAATTTGGAGGCAATTACCCCCAAAATCAATCCCAGCATTCCCTTTGTGATATGGAACCTTGTGGTACAATGTCAGAGAGATCCATACACTAACACACAAGTTATGTCTGGAAGTTACAAAAATGCTTATTTTTGGCCCCTTTTTGGCCCCTAATTCCTTAACTGTTGGTACCATAACCCCCAAAATCAATCCCCACCTTCCTTTTGTGGTATTGAACCTTATGGTAAAATTTCATAGAGATCCATTCACTTAAACTAAAGTTAGAGTGTGAAAACCAATGTGTCTTCGGACGACAACGCCGGACAACGATGACGCCGGACGACGACGCCAACGTCATACCAATATACGACCACAAAATTTTTTTGCGGTCGTATAAAAATGACAAAGTTCAACTATTTCCCAAAAGAGCAAATATCAATAAAACCAAAAACCTGACCATATGCACACCTTCAACATATGTACAAACAGCCAGCAAAGTGAAAACTTCCTAGCATTCAAACTGTAGGAGGAGTTATCCGGAATAACTATATAACCATAATGGGACGGACAGACAGACCGACAGAGGGACAGAGGGACCTATAAGTTGCGGGGGCATAAAAACAAATATGACAGACATGAACCAAGGACAACCACTGAACTATAGGCTCCTGACTTGGGACAGGCACATAAAGAACATAGTTTGGTTTTAATTTACTGTTTTAAAATCATTATTTATACCGATAAAACAATATTCAAAGATCTAATCATTGTGTTGAATTAGTAGCCTTTTAGAATAAGTTTATTTAAAGGATCGATAAGTTTACCCAGAAACACATTATCATCTTCATTTAGATGAATATCATTACAAAAGAATTACATTCCTCTCTCCAAATTTGCATATTTCATTTAAGATCTGGACCAATTGTTTTCTGCTTTTTAACAATCCAAGATAGTGGAAGACATCCAATTTACCTAAATCATTTATTTTGGATTCATAAACACAATTTAACAATTTCCACTTTATTCCATTTATTTTTACTCTAATGGTTTTAGGTGTATCTTGCTTTCCATATTTTTTAATTATAGGCATACCTGAAGAAGCTTATAGCAAATATTTTATATTCAAAGCAGACTCTAATCATCACCTTTCAACCAATTGCGTTAAAGGCAAATATATAATGGCAACAATAAGCAAAAGAAATACTAACAAAACAAGTTGACACCAAATAATATTCATCTCAAATACATACATATGTAAAAATTTGTAGCTATCAAGAATAACTATAACAATAATAAATACCGGTTCAAAATATGATTACAGACCCGAATAAATATAACATAATATACAGTTGACTGAAATCCTTGCCATTACATTCTATGCTAGCTACATTTTTGTACTACCAGAATCAAACTTTCTGTACTTTTTTACTTTCAGAACATAAATTCTCTCTTCATATTAATTTTGATGCCTTACATCTTAATCTTCATTCTTACCTAAAAATTTGTGTTTATTTTTAAATTTGGGTAAAGAAATTATTATTTTTTCAATGTGGATTCCACATTATTCATGAGATATCAATTTTCATTGATTTCATGGGTACAAATGGACCACAACTTAATGTTCAAGGAAGTACACATTTTTTTAGGCTTGCATAAGACTCTTGCAAAACCACAAAATGAAGTATCCACAAAAGTACAATTCTTCCTTAATCCAGGAAAATTGGTACGGACTAGAATAAATGAATCCACAATATATAAGGTACCTTGGTTAAATTAAAAAACATGTTCATAAAATAGATATGAAGATGGGTCCAAAACTTACTGCTATGATTTCAAAGCGCTTGGGATGTATGAAATTTATAACGTGTTGTTTTCATTTTTTGAGCAAGATATAAAAATAAGGAGATGTGGTATGATTGCCAATGAGACAACTATCCACAAGAGTCCAAATGATGTAGATGTATACAACTATGAGTCACAGCATGACCTTCAACAATGTATATCCCATACCGTAAAGACAGGTTTAAAAGACCCTACATGAAAAAATTTAAACAATTTTCTCCACATTTTGTAACGCCTCTCAATTTTCCTAAACTTTGCATAAAACATTTCACACAATAACTGTAATATTACTCCATAATTTACATTATGATTATTATAAAGTGTTTTAAAATTCTCCTTATTTCTAATACATTTCATACTTTTAGAATTTTTCTTCCCATGTGAAAATTGTAGAGACACCAATTTCTTCCCATGTGAAAATTGTAAAGACACCAATTTCTTCCCATGTGAAAATTGTAGAGACACCAATTTCTTCCCATGTGAAAAATCTCGAAACATAAATCATTTTCCTAAATAAAAAAATGTAGACACTTATTTCTTCCCATATAAAAAATCTAGAGACAGCAAAAATTCTTAGGACAAGGAAAAAAGAATGATTCTGGGCTTTACATTTTTTGTGTGTTTCTTTGGTAAGAAAAGTTTACCATTTTTATTTAGTAATAAAAATTGACTGTGTTCTTTGGCAATTAAAGGTCACAATGATATAGTTTGTTCACTAAATTGTCAAAGATACAGATACCTAAAGGAAATAGAAGAAATGCTGAGACAGATGGACATACTGATCATTCCAATGGACATGAGAACATTTCTAGCACCACAAAGGAGAGAGACATACAAAAGGACAGCACACATTGAAGGTGAATTCATAGCAGGTATAGAGGGATTCAAAATTTAATTAACCCTGAACCTAATCTTCACCTTAACAAGTATCTGACTGTGCCATAAGAAATAAACTGCTTCGCTGAGCGCAGCTGGATACGCCCGCAGAGGTTCAACCCTGAAAAGTTGGGGCAAAAATGGACACAATATTCAAGCTTGATACAGGTCTGAATTTGGATTGTAATTAAATACTTGACACATTTTAGGTTTCTGAATTTGGATTGTAATTAAATACTTGACATATTATAATATTCTCAATTTTATATCAGAAATTTATAAAAAAAACTAAAGGGAGGTTATCTTAATAGATATAAATCAGTCATCAAAGTTTAATGATAACTGCTCTAAGCACTTTAAGGATATTGTCCAAAAACTTGAAAATCACCCCTTTTTTTATAAATAAAATCTTATAACTCGGAAACGTAAAATCTAAAATTTATAAAAATCAAAAGGGAGCTTACAACAATAGATATAAACAATTTACCAAAGTTTCATCAAAAATGCTGAAAGCAATTTTGAGTTCTTGTCCGAAAAACTGGAAAATCCCTTTTTTGTAATGAATAAAACCCCATAAATCGTAAACGTATAGTCTAAAATTTATAAAAATCAAAAGGGAGCTCATGTCGATAGTAATAAACAATTCACCAAAGTTTCTTGCAAATTGGTGAAATTGTTTTTGAGTTATTGTCCGAAAACTGGAAAATCCCCCCTTTTTTAATGAATAAAACCCAGAAACTCAGAACGGTTAATCCAAAATTTATAAAAAATGAAAGTGAGCTCACTTCAATAGATATAAACAATTCACCAAAGTTTCATGCATATTGGTTAAAGTGTTTTTGAGTTAATGTCCGAAAACTGGAAAATCCCCCTTTTTTAATTGAAAAAAAACCCAATACTAGGAAACTGAAAATCTAAAATTTATAAAAAACGAAAGGGAGCTCAGGTCAATAGATATAAACATTTCATTAAAGTTTCATGCGAATTGGTTAAAGTGTTTTTGAGTTATTGTCCAACATGTTGACGACGGACGGACGGACAGACGGACGGGACGGACAACGGTATACCATAATACGTCCCGTAAACGGGCGTATAAAAAGGTTAACATCCAGAGACAAGTCATGTTAGTTTTAACCTTAGAACCAGGACGAGGAGGCAAGAACAACAATGATTTGGAGTTTAAAATGAACATAATTCAAATCAATAGCAGGAATTATGGCTCCATTTTATCATTTGTTTCCAAAATTAAATAAAACACTACCGGTACATTAATCAAACCAAAAAAGTATGTACTTCTGTGATGAAAGACATATACAACAATAACCTGGTAGAAAACTGAGGAGATTGGTAACAAATAAACAGTGTGAGATCCAGGCTCACTGCTTACCAGTAACCTATAGGTATACAGTAAATAAACTGTGGAAATAAACAGTTTGAGATCCTGGCTCACTGTTAACCAGTAACCTATATATAGGTATACAGTAAATAAACTGTGGAAATAGCTAATAAATAAAAAGCGTGTGATCCTGGCTCAGTGCTTGATAGTAGAGTCAGGCAGATTACAATGATATGTTACTGTTTAAAAAATATATATGAATGATGCATTATGGCATAGCATAATTTGATAGGAAATAATTAGCTTGCCACATTGAAAATAACTTTCAAATATTTTAAAAAATCAATAATAATTAAAGTTAAAAAATATAAACATAACCAATCACTTTACATTGTTGATCAACTTTTATATTTAAATATTTATTATTTACACCATTCTCAAGTGCAGTCATGCTAAAAAAGACATACACCCACATAAATTATAAAGACAATTGCCATGTTTTGTAATGGAAAACCCTAAAAATATTCTCATTAGAAAAACAATTTTTTGGGGTTGACAAGAAAAATTTAATTCGATGTTACTTAATTGGGTACAACATGTGGATGGACAGAACAAATGAATGACTAGATGTATGAACAAAGAGAAAAAAAGATCACAATATATACTGACTCCTGCCTCATTTAACAATAATTATCACAATAAGTTCTTAAATTATAGAAATATACAAAGTACCATCTGGAACAATTTTACGTATCTTGGAATCCAATGTGGTCCAAATGACACCAGGTTCATTAGGAGTAAACATATCATTACAATATTTATTTTAGCATTGAATTTTTTTTTCAAGTTTTTTTAATTTATCACACAGAGCAAACAAATGGCCACAGTAAAAGGCCATAACACAGTGTAGACATTAAAGCACCAGTTTATTATCAAATAACAAGAGAGGATGTTCTTTTATGATCTTTCTTATCATCCTCATCATGATCACCAGCATGTTCATCTAACTGCCTTTTAGCAAATTCTATAAACACCTGAAAGAAGATAAAAAGTCTAAGTCTAAATACAAGAAAACAATATCAAATTATGTTTTTAAGAAATAAAATAGTAGTCTATTTATAGTAAATCACAAGTAGGATCTTTAAATCTGTATTTAAAACAAATAACTCATCATCATGCTACATTCTTCATTATATTTTTTTATATATTGTAACAGATATCAGGTATCTTAGTTTCTAAGGTAATGGGGGAAAAAAGGATACAATCTTACAAAGTCAAAGCATTTCTCATGAAATCCTTGCTTCCCAATAAACCAAACAAGGTCCTTAATATAAAATGTATATTTCTAGGACAAACTGATTGGCTCTGCCATATACATATACATAGAATTTGGATGTCCAAGTACTGGTAATTTCCTCCCTCCTTTATTAAAAAAAAAACAACATTTCCCAGAAAAATTGAATGACTCTGTCTAAAACATTTTACTCTTTGATCAGGTTGTTGTCTCTTTGACACATTCCCCGTTTCCATTCTCAATTTTCTATGAAATCTTGAGGTCCAAATAGAGGTTCTATCCTCCCTCTTTTATAAGGAAGTATATTTCTTAGACAAACTGAAGGGCTTTATATTATACTTGAATATCTATACATAAGGTATGTAAGGTATTTACCTGTTCTAACGTAGACTGACTGAAACTGTACTCTTCCATTCCATGGTGACGCTTACCTGAAATATAAATGGTCATTGATAAAAAGAAAAAGTTCTACAGCCTTTTCATCTTTGAATTATTAAATAGTTTATAAGTTCTGTTTTGCAAATCTATTGTTTTCACTAAATCATTTTAAAATATCAAATGTGAAGGAGATAAAAACAGAAAAACTTCAATGTCCAAGAATTTTTTCCATGCTCTCCCAGTGTCCAATACACCTTATTGCTATTTGTTCGCCATTACTGATTTCAAATACATTCCCATTACTATTTGACATAAGAAAAAATGTCTGACACCACAATGAAAGATCCTAAATTTAATTTAAAATTTTGCTAACAGTGAGAGTATTCACAAATTATAGTTTTATAAATACAAGTATATTGTATGTGTAATACGATCAATGGCAATCATGCTGTATTAGCCATCTATGATGAATTTGATATCAGTTACGGGAGCAAAGGCTTTATCAAACCCCTAATCTGTACGATGCCATGTCATGTGAAAAACATCTACCTGAGGTATATAATAAAGTGACTTTTTCAATATCACACATCATATCAACCCTCAACCAGTGTAATCCTTGAGCAGAGCTCTTGAGATTATATTGGCATCTCCCGTTCATAGGGGTGTGATCTTGAAAAGACAAATGATATTCTGTATTGATGATCTTGATGTAAGATGAAGCCTAGATCAATTTAAATAATAAATGTCAAAAAGTCTATTGTGGTAGAGGAAAAATATATCCGATCAATTATTCTTAAAAAGACAATATATGAAGAAAAAATAAAGGCACATCTTCAAAAATGAATATTATGTAAAATAATGCAAAACTTGTAACAAATTCTTGTATATTTACCTTCTTCAAGTGAGGCAAAGACATTAGCTAATGACGGAACATCTGTCTTCGGTACTTTGAACTGGGCATAAGTTCCAAATTTCTCTAATGTTACGGCATTTGGAAAAAGAGACACAACATAGTTTTGTAACTCCTGTAATCGGTGAGCTTGTTCTTCGTCAGTGATGTCTTCTATTCTAAGTTTGACTTCCAATAAATATCCACTACTATATTTGTTCTTCAAGTGTTGAGTTGCACCTATACATCTGTTAACACATTCAAACATTTATTTTTAGTAACAAATGAATCTGAATATATACATCTGTGCATTGAGTGCATAGTTCATTCATCCGCAAATCAGTGAGAATAAATAGATAAAATACATGGTATTTTTTTAAATTTTGCACAAAACAATGGGAAGATTTCATGAATACCAGAGTTTAAAATATTTCTTTATTATTTATGATTAAAGTCCAATAACTCTAGAATGACTGATAAAATACTAAAGGAACTACAAGCACATCTCAAAATATTGTACCCACATCCCATATGAATTAGTGGCACAGTCTATGATTTATTTGAGGAAATCCAATCAATAATGTCTGATTAAAAACCAAATATGAGATGCATAATGATAAAATATGGTTATAAGATATAAGATTCTGCTAAAGTTTCAAGAAATTCTAATACAGTGGATTCATTTATTTTCGTGGGTAGAAATTTTTGTTGATTGAGGAAAATTTGTATTTTAGTGGATATTTGATTTCATGGTTTTGACAAAGTCTACATACAAGCCTATAAAAAATTTATACTTCATAGAACAGTTTAATTCGTGGTTTGTGTATAACAACTAAATCCATGAAAACTGTTACCCCATGAATAATAAATGAATCCACAGTAAGGAGTTTAGGAGTTGAGTATACAAAATGGGTACCCCAGATGATAAAACAATGGCAAAGATCAGAATTTACTAAGGGAAACCCCCAAAATATAATTTATACCTGGGGGACATTGGAACATTGTTCTATTTTAATGAAAAATGAAAATTGCCAGTTTGACAGATGTTTAGATATCCAATAGGTGTAGCTGACCTAGATTGAATACTTACTCAAGCTTTCCATTGACCATGATTGCAACTCTTGTGCATAAGGCATCTGCTTCTTCCATATAATGTGTCGTTAATATAGCACCACGTTCTGTTCCACTGAAACTGGAACTAATAGTGTCCCTAGAAATAAAAGTGATCAAAATTCAAATTCCCAAGCAATATTCAATGAAAAACCTCATGTACAAAAGTATTTACAAGATACTCTTTTCATTGTCAATAGAATAATTTAATTGAATTTTCTTTAAACACAACATAATATTAAGTACCTGACAGAAAACCAAAAAGACTTTTTTATGAGTCTATTTCAGACCAATACTTCCTCAAATTATTTATTATTACTTTCAGTTTTTATTTTTTTCCTTCTGTGCTTTCAAACCAAAAATATTGCATTACATTAACATTATCAGTACATCACATTCTTTCTTTCTGCTGCGGATATGAATCATTTATATTCCACATAGTCACACAAAGGAGGTGAAAGGCAAATTTTTTACACAATAATAATAAAGATACGCAAGATATCTCATTCCAAAATCCATAACTTCTAATCCAAATTCCATAATTCAAAAATATTAAACTCACATCTTGATCAAATATCCTTCAACCCCAGCCCCTCCCCCATCCCATTTGTTTCTGAAATCAAAACATGAAAATTATGGCCCAAAGTGTCCTAAAAGTTCTTCCCTCCCGTTAGATATTACTTAAGGAATGACTGTAATATTTTTTCTGTCTATGAAGAAATAACATCAAAAATGTGGTGCACACTGAATAACCCGTGTAGCGGGTTATTTTAAAGTGTGCACCACATTTTTAATGTTATTTCCAATAGACAGAAAAAATATTACAGTCATTTCTTATAATTTAATTCTAAATTCCATTTTAAACAGGAGTAAACCATTAAAAAACGTTGATGAGATCACGGTCACATGACAAAATTATGTCTATGAGCTGATAAACAAAACAATGTCAGCCAATCAGAAGACGTGTTACATCCAAAATTAAATTATATAAGAATGGAATAAAAGATATAAATAACTTGTTCAAATGTGTGTACATACCAGAGAAATCTTTTTGATTGTGGGTCCATTCCTGTAGATGGTTCATCCATTAGCACCACTTTAGGCCGACCAAGCATACTGATTATATAACTTAGCTACAATATCAAATCATAACAAAATTTAAATAATTCAATCAAAACATAAAAATCTTAAGCAACACATCTTGTGCTTGAAATAAATGCACATTTCAATAATATAACCATGTGCTACATGAATTTATGAAAAAGTCATGCCATGAAAATTACAAATCTGAATTATCTGACATATTTCTGTACATGAAAAAATATGCTTTTTCAATTTAATACAAGTAAACTCTTGCTATGCACTGATTTTTAAAGTCATTCACACATTGTATGGGCAAAATGGCATTCATGCATTCTTGAATATCAAAGTCATCGTACATGTACCTGCTTGAAATTGTACAAGAAAATCTATATCCTACAGAATTATGTTAATTTCATCATTTATGACATTTATCTTTACTCATATATTTTATGTAAGAAAAGCACAAATACAATAAACAAAAGTTGCCTATAATGTAAAAAAAATATAATTATAATAATAATAATTATCAGAACACTAATATTTTGAAACCCCTGCTTCCAGACCCTTATAAGTAGAGTGATATGCTTCTATACCAGTTTTAAAATATTAGCTGCATATGCTACTTAAAGGATGATGAGGGAAATTCTTTTTTTGAATCATTGTATTGTTTTGAATGACAACTGGAAGTTGAGATATTTTGTTCTACTCTTTAGGTGTATACATACACACAAATAGGTTTCTACAAAGGAAATTTGCTTAAAACATTTCTGAATTTATAAAATTCTATTTTTCAAATACTTAATAATCTCCTGCTCCTACTTTCAATATTTTCAAAGAACCAGTGGTATTATTAGGTTGAAAAGACTACATACCTTTCTCTTTGTACCGCCAGACAATTTTTTTGACATTTTTCCTGCATGATCCTCTAACTTTAATTCTTTTATATAACTAAAAGTAAGAACATAAGATTATTGTCTTTGTAATGGTAAATATTAGTGAAAAGTGTTATAAATAGCAAAAAATATTCCAAAAAATCTATTTTTATTTTATGAGCATTAGCCATAGCAGGAGGTTGATGATGTCATTTTTGTTTTGTTTTGCTAGTCCATAAAAAAGAAAATCTAGTTCAATAATGATATTTACGTCTTAGCTACAGTGAATCTGCTTCACACTCTATTAGTCCATTTTGAGATTTCTGAAAACGTGTCGACACCTATTCACCATTCAAAGCCATAGAATACTTATTTCAAAACTACTTATTGTTAAGTATATGTCTACAATGTGTTGTTGGGTTGATGCATCAATTATTATCATTCTTCATCTATTATTATCAAAATTTCATGTACATGCCTTAATGACCATTTATTTGCTTGTCTTTGCCATTTTTTTGTTTAACATAAGTCTAGTACCCTTATGTTTCAATATTTAAATTCTCTATGTATCACAGTCTCTTCTCAATTTTACCATTATGAACACTATATCAGGGTAGCAAAACTGGTTCCTAAAAAAGGAGGTTATCTTTTGGTCAGTTTCACTTACTAATTGATGACATTTTCTATGTCTCTTTTTGGAATGCCTCTGATGGCAGCATAAGCCCTAAGATGATCATCAAGCTGAACCAAATCCCACAATGCATCATGCTGGGGACAGTATCCAAGTACTTTAAAGGCATCTGACATGCTGGATCTTACATCGTGCCCTCCTACATGGACCTAAAATAAGTAAAATAAAAACTGAAACCATCAGTGTGTCAATTTGGACTGTGCTTAAGAGATGGAGGATTACTAACACACTGGTGCCCACTCTAGCATATATGAGGGTCTGTATAGGGGCCCTTCATTTTTATATTCTTTAATTTTTAGGTTATTTTATTCTGTTCTTTATATTTTTGCCCTTGATACTCTAATCTTTATATTTAAACATCCCATTATTCTCTATTTTTTTGTCTACTTTTCCAGCCTATTTTTCTGTAGCATTGGTCATTTTTTCTCTATTCTGTAAACCCCATTCAGACCCTCCTATATGTACATATAACCAGGTTTTTGTAAATATGATATTCAGATTAAAAAGCTTAGTTTTTCAAAATAAAGAATACATTGCTGGTAACCAAAATCTATTGTTGTTCAAAATATATTACGACACAATATTAATTTTAAGATAATTCTAATTCCAAGGTATTATGAATATATTAATAAATGTACATTCAAACTGTATCTGGCCCTCGAAAATTTTTTATGAACAAAATACATCTGATGACAGGATATTAAAAATAAATGAATCTTCCTTGAATAGTGGCATAATCCCCCAACAATATCAGCGATATAGTACTGACCTTTCCCTTCGTTGGTCCAACCTCAGCAATAACCATATTCAAGGTGGTAGTTTTTCCTGCTCCGTTAGGTCCAAGAAGTCCCAGTACTTCACCACTTTCAACAGCAAAGGATGCATTCCTAACAACCACCTTGACCTTTTCTTCTGCCTGGACCTTTTTACATCCATCTCTTTTCTGCTTCCCCCTTTTTGCAAATTCTTTTCTTAAATTTTCTACCATTACCACAGGGTACTGAAATAAAGTTGTCAAGATAAAAATCTCATGTAAAAATGAGACAGACTGAGTCCTGAAATAAAGTTGTCAAGATAAAAATCTCATGTAAACATGAGACAGACTGAGTACTGAAATAAAGTTGTCAAGATAAAAATCTCATGTAAACATGAGACAGACTGAGTACTGAAATAAAGTTGTCAAGATAAACATCTCATGTAAACATGAGACAGACTGAGCACTGAAATAAATTTGTCAAGATAAAAATCTCATGTAAACATGAGACAGAAAGAGTACTGAAATATTGTTGTCAAGATAAAAATCTCATGTAAACAGGAAACAGACTGAGTCCTTCAGAATATTTATGGTTTTTTTTTAGAGATACACAACAAATTGGTTAAATAACATATATCTATAATTTTATATTTTCTAATTCAGAGATAAAAAAAAAAATGAAATTACGAATTTTTACTAAAATTGAGCAACTAGATTCAACACATTACATCCAAATGATATGAGACGAGAACAGACTTAACCGAAAACCAATCTGGTAAACACAAATGAAGTTCCTTAATAAATTTACTTTTCAATGTGAAATTGTACCAAGTTAGTAAAATATATATAAAAGTGTTATAATCGCGAGTATTTTAAAAGGGTATTTATCAAAATTTTATGTTCCACGAAATTTTGTGTAAATCTGTATTGTATTTAATGGAAGATTATACCGATAAAAAGTATAAATTTTATTTTTGATTTTAACCAAAAAGTCATAAAATGACCCTTATCTACCCAAAGCAGTATTTGTCTCTTATATGACAGTCACAACCTTTCAGAATAATCAGGAACCAAGATGAGCACTAAAAATAGGAGATTGGAACTGATTATATATAGCTTGTATGTAAACTTTCGTCCAAAATTCACTGTTGAACCCCGTATCAAAACTGTATCGTATGCCCTTAAAGTATATTTCACCAAGTATTTTACATATTCATTAAAAGGAAGCTATGGAGGTGGCATAGAAAACATCAATTTAGAAAAAATAATTCAAAAACTTAAATTTGGTCAATTCAAAATAGCTATTCAGCAGAAATTAAAGAACCTTTGTGAGCACCAATCATCTTCTCTATGACACATCATGACAAGTTTCCTTTTTTCTCAGACTTTTTTTAAAAACACTTTCTTTTACAGGAAGAAAAAACCTTCACAAACGAGTGAGAAAAAGCTTTGAGCATGAAATATAAAAATGATGAGAAGTTGTATGATTGCCGATGAGACAAAACAATTAACGACGGACCAAATGAGGTGGATGTAAGCAACAATAGGTCACTGCATATTTTGTGTCTGGTTGTCACTCACCAACTCATTTGAATACTGGCCAGGCTGCTTAATAAAAAATAAAACAAGATGAAATTTTTTTTTTCAAAGTTTTTGTACATGTATTTATAAGAGTTACTGTTAACTTACACAGGACAAAGTTTTTATGAAACCTGAAAATAAACACTCATGCATGAAGCACACATACATTTGTACTTATTCGACCATTCATATTTAATCATGCATTCTCTTTTGTAATTCATAAATGAAAAACCATGCAGTAACTTGATACTGAAATATCCACGTTTTTCATAAAATATAGACAAGGTAAAGTAAAGAAACATGTTTGTGATTTCATGTACCTATTAAATAATATCTGAAGAAAAATGATATCAAAATTTCAAACAAACAAAAACAAAATTTTTCAAATTATATGTGTATAAATTATATGTGTATCAGGATATTATATGTGTATCAGGATATTTTCTGCAAGATTGCCATATAAACTGGCTAAATATTATGTTAAGCATTTGTGATAACATCACATTATATAATTATCAAAATAAAGAAAAAAAGTAGTTTTTTATATGAAAACACAAAACAAAAAGTTTACAAAACATGGTAGCAAAGCATGACAAGAAAAGTCAGATCACAAATTCAGGGTAAATTTTCAATGGAAGATTTTTGTAGATTGCTACAGAGATTCTTTAAATGACCTACTTAAGAATAATAGATGAAAATATCTATATTATAGTGAAGGAAAGCCCTAAAAGCAACGTGTGTATGATTTAAATTGTAGATGCAATTGTTACTTTGGTTGGGTGTTTTTTTTTTCAATCAATCTGGAGAAAATACAAGTGAAACTGTGAGCTTCTGCTCACTGATGATACCCCCGCCCAAATATTTCGGTAAACAGGAAGTTGTTGAGTGATGAATCTGAAAACGCATCACACGATATAGCTGACTTATATAAATCCTGAAACCAAATTTCAGAAATCCTTATGATGTAGTTCCTGAGAAAGATGCGACGAAAAATATTCATGGGACGGATGGACAGACGACGAACAGACAGAGGTAAAACAGTATACCCCCACTATTTTAAAGCGGGGATATAATTTAGATACAAAAATGTTTGCATCTCCCTCCATTTAAAGAACCCTTTCATGACTATGTGTAAACCCCAGAAACTGATGTGATAAATAGTAGTGTAATAAAGCAGAAGATTGACTTCACATCCAGTAGAATTTTCTGTGCAAGTTTTGTTGGTATCAGTGTGTCTGATGCAAGATAAGGTATAATGATCCCTCCTATGTCAACTCTGTAATCAATATGTGTCAATTCTGTTATTAATATGTGGCAACTATGTTATCAATATGTGTTAACTCTGTTATCAATGTGTCAACTCTGTTATTAACACACATCAACTCTGATATCAATATGTGTCAACTGTTATTAATATGAATCAACTCTGATATCAATGTGTGTCAACTCTGTGCTGTAGGTGACACACAACAATGTGATGTCTACGTAAGTAAGAACTGCTGTTAAAACAACTGACAAATAAGGAAGTCAATAAAAACTTATTGAACCACCAGTCTGTGGAATGTGCTAATCATAAACAATTAAGATCAAAATTAATTTGAAAGGTGAGTTTATAACTACAGAAACATTAAAATCCGTGTTTTCATCAAACAATAAATACCTTTACCAATTTTTCCAATTCTGCCCAGCAAACCTAATGACCATTGTAATGTTAAAGAATTGGAATGTCTAGTAAGGTATCATACTTCAACTGGCAATAGACATTCTTAAATATTGATATGCCAAATGTACAACTCTCTAAATCAAGAAGATTACAGAAAAATAACATATATTTGGTTGTCAGTAAAAATAAAGTTTAATGATTTTTTTAAGATCTAAGAAAAAAGATCCTATCAAATTCGATGAAAAAGGTCTTCTTGATTATGGTGAATACTTTACTAAAAAAAAAAGGTTGAAACTGAATAAACTACAAGATACTTGTGCAAATAATAAATATTTACTTTCCAGTCAATTTAAAAAACTTATTAGCATTGTTCTTATATCATAGGTTTATTATTATTTGGGTTGCTGCCTCACTAATGTATAGTCCCCACATCTCCTTTTTTCAAAGTTGTAAAAAAAAATGATAGTTTATAGAAATTTAAACTGCTGCTAAATAACAAGATTCTTTAACTTAATGCTTTATTAATAAATAAATTTATTTCAATTGAGATTGCAAAAAAATTTCCGGCATTAATAATTATACTAAAATGTCAAAGAAAACAAAATATGTTCTACAGCCTAAGAAAAATCCTAAATTGGAAATCTTCCATTTATTTTTAATTTTAGTTTCTTGTGTATAATTTGGAGTTTAGTATGACGTCCATTATCAGTGAACTAGTATACATATTTGTTTAGGGGCCAGCTGAAGGACGCCTCTGGGTGCGGGAGTTTCTCGTTGCATTGAAGACCCATTGGTGGCCTTCGGCTGTTGTCTGCTCTATGGTCGGGTTGTTGTCTCTTTGACACATTCCCCATTTCCATTCTCAATTTTATAGGTTTGAAAACTTACCATCTATGAAGGTTGAACAGAGTGGGTATAAGCACAAAAAAACAAGAAATTCATTTAACGATGAAAAAAAATACAAATAATGGCTTACAAATTGCTTTTTGCCAATTTGCACAAACCACTGAATAATGAGCTTCAAGCATAAAAATTGCAAACCCGTTACAACCCTCATCTATGAAACACATACATTTATTTTATAAAAATTTGCACTTATTGTTCATGTTGTTAAGCAAATTGCTAACAAAAACAAACCTGGCTCATTTCTCTTGTCTGTAAAGCTTTAACCCTTTGTCTTTCCTCTGCAACATCTTCATCTTCATCTTCTATAATGTCCGAATTTTCTGTATCCACCTCGTTACTATTTTTTTTACTGATACACGGTAATGCATCTTGAATTTCACCTCCTGTTTTACGGACGTCAAGAATTCTCAGTAACATAATATACAACGGTATCTCTACAAATGGCTGTAATTAACAAAATATATAATTTAACGACTGTTCCATTTTTTTTTTAAAACATACAATGTACGTAGGCTCTAACCACACCCTTTAATGAAGTCCACTCAAGCATGAAATAAAGGTCATAGTGATGCAATGTTTATGCAAAATTAGCCAAATGGAGAACTTACTATAGGCTGATATAGGTAAATCTATTTTCTTCAACTAGATTCATTGTAGACATAACAATGAAATTGATGTTCAAATTCTTTTACAAATGAAGATACCATTTAAACATGACAATAATGATGACTATAAATATAAATACCTACCCACAGTATAGGTAAGAGTATGTTGGACTCCCACTTAAAATATTCTTCAAATGTAATGTCCTGTCCATTTCCAAGCAAACTTGTTCGATACACCTTAAAAATAATTACAAAAAGACTCTATACATCTTTAAACTAGTAACTAGACACAGTGTTCTCCCCAGAGCCTTTTAGCATCATGGTAATGTGATGCTATATTTCTTAAATGTGATGCTATCTGACTTGATTGTCTTATAGAGTGTTTTATGGATGTGATTCTATAATTTTAGAAACAAGATGGTATTTCAAATTTTCCTGTTTACCAGGATGCTATATGAAATATCTAGGGAGAACACTGAACTGACAGTAATAACAATACAAACTTGGAAAACTTAAAAGATGTAAAATACTAATACTATGTATTATATAAATGAAGCTTTTTTGATTAACTGTTTATTTCCTAGTTTTTCATGAAACTTATTGTTTCTTTTCCTACTGCTCATATCTATTGCAACATCTTCCTCATTGTCAGTGTTTTTTACTGCAACCAGACGAGTATTGACATTACCACATGTATCATTTGTCTGGCATGATAATTCATAGTTCACATAAAGAATAGTTAATCAAATTTGTGATTTTTGTACTGTTCACAGATACTCATATATTGTTATCATTGAATATGACAATAATACTTTGTAATGTAGAAAACAGACAACAAATACAGAAAGAATTGATTTCTATGTTGGTGATTTTAATACTGCTAATCTTATTTACCCTTTCACATGTGTCATACAATATGTGGATAAAACTTGCCAAAAAATATAAAAAAAAAAAACTTTCCCAGATATGAATAAAAGGAGTTTAGGAGTTATTGTCAAAAAAACAAAGAGAGATACCATATTCTCTTGAGACCTAAAGAATGAGAACTTACTCTGTGAATCCCTCAATATCTACAACATCCTGATTGATTAGAACCTTTCTCTAATTCTGTATGCATTTAAACCAGTTCTAACTGAATTGATAATTTTGATAAACAACAAATTGATCAAATTTAACTTCTGTAATTTCCCACCATATTCATTCTGAATATTGCACTCAGCATTGTCAATTACTTAATTTATAGAGAAACAGATTTTACCACTTTACCCTGTTGACTCCAATATTCATCTAATCTCCAGTTAATATTGCATTTTAAAAAGATTGAAAATTTAACTACCTGTATCTCAGGTGGATAAATCATGCAATCAACATGGTGGGTAAAAATCTATGTTATTGAACCCTAAGTAACTAGAGTACTATATAATGATATATTTATGGTCCCTTGGGTTAAAGAAAACAACTTTCTACTGTCATTTTTTGTGTGATAGTATTGATTAAAACTGTAAATAAATCATTCTTCAGTCCTGAACACAATATTATCAAAATCAAATGTCAAACAAACCAATTCAGAAATTTAACTTCTATCATCATAAACAATGTTGCACAAACGACATCCAGACAAAACAGTATGTACAAAACATTGATATTCTAATAGTGCTACGTTATTTCTTAATTGTTTAATTGTTGTCCAGTGTTAATGATTATCAATAAATTCAGCTCCTTTTTAACTCTGCTTCTCTAAAAGCCTTTGCCAATTACTGATTCCAACTGGCTAAATACATTTACAAGTTACAGTTTAAAATAATTGTCTTCAATTAATTAACAGATATATATAATCTTATGCAAATCATATACACAGCAAGTAGTATCATCTACCAATTTGAACACAAATGTTGAAGAAAAAATGAATAATGTTTTCATTTGTAGGCAAATGATTAAAAAAGGATTACCAAAAATACAGAACTCTAAGGTAGATATAATGAAAGAACCTTAGTGAGCGCGCTCACATACCCCACGTCCCCACATTGTCATTGGAGAAATAAAATAAGTGTAAGAAAAAAAAATTGTATCAGAAAAAAAAATTGAATCATAATTTCCTGTCAATATGCACATCTACATAGTATGTCCTTATTATCTACACAATTTCATGAAACTCTGTTGTGTGGTTTGAGAGGAGTTGCGATGACAAAAGGTTGCAGTAGTATATTGAGCAAATAAGTTCAAAGGGGCGTAACTCCTGGAAAATAAATTGAATCGTAATTTCCTGTCGATATGCACATCTACGTAGTATGTCCTTATTATCTGAAAAGGTTCAATGAAATTCTTTTGTGTGGTTTGAGAAGAGTTGCGAAGACAAACTGTTGCAGTAGTACATTAAAGTAAATAAGTTCAAAGGGGCATAACTCCTAGAAAAAGAATTGAATCGTAATTTCCTGTTGATATACTACAAAGTATGTCCTTATTATCTAAAAAGGTTTCTTGAAATTCTGTTGTGTGGTTTGAGAGGAGTTGCGATGACAAGAAACAGGACTGACGGACTGACGGACGGACGGACAGACGGACGGACGGACGGACAGACAGACAGACGGACGGACAGATGGACGGACGGACAGACGGACGGACAGACAGACGGGTCAAAAACATTATACCCTCCGCAACTCGTTGCATGGGGTATACAAATGGGGAAGTCCATAAAACCTGGCAAGACCAAATACGACTATAACAAACAATGGTATAGATAGACAACAACTGTCATATTCCTGACTTGGTAGAGCCATTTTTTCTAAGAAAATGGTGGATTAAACCTGGTTTTATAGCTAGCTAAACCTCCCACTGGTATGACAGTTGTTAATAATTCCATTAATGTAATACATATATGAACTTTGGCATCATCCAAATTTCCTTGTTCTGTTTGCGACAGTAAGTTTGCAAATTCAAATGATCTGGCACTTTATTTCATTATAATCTAATCTATGTATGACTTACCCTATCAATATAATAAATGCCTCCAAATACTTTGTAAGGTGGCAGAAGCATAACAAAGATGTAGTGCATGATCCTGGCTGGAATCTCTCCTGAAATCATGTCAACTAAGCTGACAGCTAAGTATGGAATAAAAGATATCTGAAAATAAAATATGTCAATTCATTTAGGAAAACAGTCTAGCAAAAATTCTCTTTTGTTCTTACCAGTACATGGTTTAAATAATAGGTCCTTATCAAAAATTTTAAGAATAATTATGTAATTGTTCAAAACCTTTAGCTGTGGTTATTAGAAAAACAAGAATGTGTCCATAGTACACGGATGCCCCACTTGCACTATCATTTTCTATGTTCAGTGGACCATGAAATTGGGGTCAAAACTCTAATTTGACATTAAAATTAGAAAGATCGTATCATAGGGAACATGTGTACTAAGTTTCAAGTTGATTGGACTCCAACTTTATCAAAATCTACCTTGACCAAAAACTTTAACCTGAAGCGGGACAGACGGACAGATGAACAAACAGACGAACGAACCAACAAACGAATGGACACACAGACGAACGAACGAACAAACGAATGGACACACAGACTAAAAAACATAAGGCCCCTCTACTATCGTAGGTAGGGCATAAAAACACACAAAATGTGACCATAATCTGCATACTAAGCATGATTTTTGGCCTCAGTGCTTCTGAATTTTGTCAAACAAAAGTTGCATTGTTGATAAAACTCATTATTTTGAATCAAATTTTGTACAATGTCAAATTTCTTGTTTCAATCTGAATTAAAAACTATCTTGTAAAACTAACATCTTGCCCTGCAGTCATAAAAAGTTTGAGGATCATTTTCACACTCAAGACTCAAATGATCAAAATACTGGATTTAGTGTTTCCAGCACAAAGTTTGTGCGCCAAGTACGGAGTTAAGTTTTATGACACAGAAGAAAGGTGCGGGGCAAAAAAATTTCAAAACAAAATAAAAAAAAAAAAAAAAGAAACTTGAAACAACTCGCATTAACAATATATAAATTTGGTTCAGCCTGACAATATATTAATATTTTAATTTAAATTTAATATACTTACAAAAAAGTAGAGAACAGTCAATGATGATTGACAGGTCTCAAAGTTGTCAAATAAAAACTGAAAGATGTAAACAAACAGTGTTGAGGATGGTATAACTGTCAGGAATAGAAGAACAAGAGAAAAAATAGCACCACCTGGCTTCAAACTGTCAACCTGAAAATATAACAAAAAAAATGTCTTTGATTAAATTAAAATTTTTATACCTAAACATTTCAAAAATGTAATTTACATGTATATTAATCTAATACCTTTCTTTCATACCATTCTTTGTGGTTTAGAAAATGAGCATATATCCACGTCATTTCAACTTTGGTGGATAGTTGTCTCATTGAAAATTATACCACATCTCCTACTTTTTATATTGGATATTTTCAATCAAATGTAAAGAAATATTTTTTCAGATTATAGATAACTTCTGTTTGGCCAATACAAATGTCAAATGAATGTCATTTTTAAATTATCTACCCTTAATCACAAACTAATACATTGACCCCGATTTCTGACTCTGTCAAAGCGAGACAAAAAACTGTTACGATATCACATGTATGGTTTGACGCTGATTTTCTTTTATAAATACCTACCACTTTTGATTTTGACAACAATGTGGATTCATTTATTATTGTGTGTAATAATATTCATGAAAAATAGTTATTTGTGGATACTTGACCTTGTGTTTTTGTTAGATTCTGCATACCATCCTATATATGATATCCTGTATTTTGTTGAGTTCATGGTATATATATACCCAGGAAATCCACAAAGATTAGTACAATACTGAATCCACTATATGATAGATAATTATGTTTTTATGATACACCCTCTATATAACATATCTGTATAGCAGCTGTCAGAATTACACAAAATACTGCCGGGATACAGAACTTATACACATGCACCACCATATTATAGATAATTATGTTTTTATGATATACCCTCTACATAACATACCTGTATAGCAACTGTGAGAATTACACAAAATACTGCCGGGATACAGAACTTGCAGACATCAATAAAAAAGTTAGATAACCAGTAAACACCAAACGGTACACCTGCTGTTCTCAACTGACTTCTGATCTTAAACTGAAATAAAACATTTTCAACTGTAATTGCAACAAATATAACATCTAAAACTCCATAAAAAATAACACAAATACTAGTTGTAAATGAAATAAAATGCACTAAAAATAAAGTCCAGATCAACATTTCATAAAACATATTTTCTATAAAGGAATTCCTAGTTGTGACATCATGAATTAGGTTTATAAATGCATATATATGTTTGTTGCATTAAGGTATGATTGCAATTGAGAAAACTATCCTCCAAACACAAAGGACAAGAACGTACATCACCAGAGAGGTCACAGTAGGACCTTCAACAATAAGCAAATCCAATACAGTATAGCAAGCTCAATACCTGCAGTTACTGAAAGATAGTTCAAAGCCTTATTATATCTAATTAATTGACCATGTTTTCACAGAATAAAATATCAACCAGCACACCTCCAATGTATTTATCTTGATAATCAGTCTGGAATAAGCATGACCTTGAGTAAAACTAAAATATGCATGACCTTGAGCAAAACTAAAATATATAAGTATTGACAGGATGCAGAACATAAATGTTAATAACTGGATAGCAGTAGTTTCTCAATTAAAAATTTTGCCCACTAACCTCTACTTTTCTTTTCATAATTTTATTACATACTGTTTAAAAAGCCATTTTTTGAAAATCTTATAAAATCCTTGTTATTTTTTCATAGTTTTTAAAAGAAGGTGCCAATGTTAAATGTATGAAAAATCTAGAGAGAATCATTTCCCGCCAAATTTTCAATTGACTATTTTTCAAAAACAAGGACAAAGACCTTTAACATTTTGTCTGCTTTCTAAGTTTTGTTATTTATATACTATTATTTTATAACAGTCTTTTTAAAAACTTGTTATTTTGAAACAGAGGAGCGAACATCCTTAAGTTATGTATTTGACTATTTTAAATAATATCGATGCTAGTAGGACCTGACAGCCAACATTGGAATAATCTTAAATTACCTGTCTATCTTTGACTAGATCAACGGCAAAACCTGGTGGCACAACAACAAAAGCAATGGCCACCAAAATAACAGATGAGAATGCATTGTTGTTGTATGTTAGTTTATTTGAAGGTTTCCACAATGGCAGACTAGCAGCAGATATTGTGTTCCTTGTTCCATTCACCAAGGCTGTTGCCATGGAGAGAAGACTGTTACTCATCAGAAGTATGACAGAAGGTATACTGTGTGTAGCTTTACTATTATACAGAATACTGTATCCAACATTGCTGATCTGAAAAATAGGGGAAAGGGTTTTACATTGGGAGACATGAATTTTTACTTCAATTTTTTTTTAACCTTTTCCAGTGGAGACAAAATTGTATGATCTCTAAATAGTCTATTTATCAATTACTATTACACACTTTAAACAAAAGATGTTTCCCTTTGGAAATTGTAGACAATTGGTTCTAAACAGACAAAATAGGATGCTAACCATGCACAGCATTATAAGTTAAAAGTGATATATAGCAGTGATCGGGAAGGACGTGCGCCATGCGCCAATTGCGCTTATCGACCAGAAATGGCGCATAGAGTGACAAATGTAAGCGCCAGCGTGGTGCATGATATTTTTCACTTCGTTTTGAAACTTAGAGATATCGTCAAATGGATTTCCGATCGTATTTCGTGCCGCCATGTGTGAGTACACAACTGTGTAGTGTTTACTCCAATGATAGGAGCACCTATATATTTTTGGGACGTCTCGGGTGTTTTCCTATGGTAAAAATAGCAACATGCGGCATGACTGATTACCCAAAAACGTTATTAACCATCGTTCATGATATAATTTTTTATAAACAACTTTAAATTTGTGAAAATTGGCTAGTACAGGCGAGAATTCTTCTCTAATTATAATCTTTTAAGTAAGCTTGCTATTATTTCGATTGAAAAACCCAAAAGCCTTTTTATGAATAGTATAGTATTTGTCTCCATAAAAGGGGCTTAACTGTCCTTGTCAATTTTTTTGGTCTTTGGCTCGTTTTGACATTTTGTAAACATGCCTTCAGCGAATTGTTGTTGTGTCTTATCAATTAACGTTGCTCTCTACTGTTATTCTTGTCATCGTGATGAAGTAATAATAATACAAGTGCAGAGGAAATGCCAGAAACGTCCTCTAATACGGAACGCCTGGAATAAGTATGGTATCGACGAAGACCCAAATTTAATGTAAAAAAAACATGAACATGAACAAGGGAACAGTACCAGTTTTAACATTGTAAATAAAGGTTATCATAAATATTGCCCGGTTTGGAAGAAGTTATTGTATATTCATTGAAATTGAAATTACAAAATCACAGGAACAATATCCATGATATTAATTAGAATCATACTTGTAAGTACAGTGAAATATACACTTTTTTAATTTTTTTTTTTAATGTAAACGAATGGCCCACTCATTTGACAACATGGCCCATTAATTCTAAAAATGGCCCATTGAATTTATTTTTGGGGGGCCCTGGGCCCATAGAGAAAAAATCCTTCCAGATCACTGGCGTCTTAAAAAATTGAAAAGTTTGAAAGTGAATTTAAATGTACCAGGTTGATTCTCCACTTTTTACATATATTTGGATTTGACTTAATAAAATAAAGTTTATATATTAGCTGTTTCAAAGCTCTGATTTTTTCCATCAAATTTCTTTTGAAAATTAGAAAAATGCAAAAAATAGAAACAATGTATGATGATGAGTGTTTTAAATCCCTCTTTATTCATATACATACTGCACTAGCTGCTACAGTGAGATTCTTTAAATCTATTCCAAAGTTTGAAGTAGTGTCTACAATCTCAGATGAGTTTGTAAAAGTTTTTGTTTCAAACATGCTCCTAAAAATCTGAAGGAAAGCATTCCCAGTAGTTGTTCCTGAAATTCAGAATGTAATTTGACTATTATATCAAAGCAATATTTCAGACCTTCAATACATATTGCTCCGTAATACAAATTATATAATGTACTAAAACATGTTTTGCTACTGTATTTCTTCCTACTACTCAATCTAACTTTGTTCAAACTTGATATAATATCCACTGGCTGTCCCTGTTATCTTGAACTAACGTCATTTGTTCCCACAGAAAATCAACGAAATACACATGATGAGAAGGCAAAATTGTGATTAAGAAATAACTGCAAAATGTGTTGTTTTATCAAAGACAAAATATATTTATGACTAAGCAAAAACTAAAGGCACATAAAAAAAAATTGTGTCTTCTGTTCATTGACAGCAAAGATATTCTCTCCACAGATTATAGGACACATGGTAGTTGTATAAGTTGCCCATAGATTTTATCTGCTGTCAAAAATCACACTGTTTGAAGTACTGGTACACGATTCCCTCAATACCTATATATTAAACAGGGAGCAGAGAAGAAAATGACATAAAATTATAGATGGAACCAGTTTATTGTTCATGCATAGCAGCAGACATATACCATAAATCATTAAAGTCAAATCTCTAGCCCTTTAATGATCCAAAATACCTGGTAATTTCTCTTTCTTCTCTGATCAACAATGGGAACTTGAATCAGAATAATAGAAGCAAACATTAATTAATTTGGAACAATTGAGGGCTTGCATCATATGAAATATTCTACAACATATACTTGCTACTATTACACTCCTATAAAAATGACCTTTGATTGTATCTTCTAACTTTCTGGCTTAAAGTCATACAATACAGTTACAGGGGAGGTAATGACGTCGCTTACATAAAATGTTAACTGTCACATATCGGGAAATGACTCATTTTCTGGCTGATTTTTTATCATTTAGACTGATTTAACTTGAAAATGAGATCATAGACCCCATATTTTAAAAAATGACATTTGGCTTGATTATGAATGAAGATTATTTGTGCCAATTTTTATGAACAAATCACCAATGAATTTTTTTTATATTAGTTAAATATACAGCAAAAAGTGCTGTATTTTTACTCAAGTCTTGAAAAAGTGATAAAAATAAATTATTTCCAAAGAACTGTTACATAAATTCAAAACACACTCATGAAGAGAAGATCTTGCGTTTATCTTTTGAAACAAAAAAGTTAGATATGTCTTTCCAAAGATAGAAATGTCCAAGAAACCGAAAGTTTCAGTTAATGTCTAAAATTTCAACCCAATTTATCTTTAAAAGTAGCACATGAAGGTTTATTTTTTATAACATATTTGAATTGACTAGGTGAAAAATAGCTTGTATGCAAACTTTTGCAAAAATTCACCCTTGGATCATAACTGTATCGTATGCTCTCAAGTAATTTCCTTGCTCTGTTAGGTTGGACTTGCCAATATAAAAATAAGAAGATGTAGTATGATTGCCAAGGAGACAACTCTCCACAAGAGACCAAATGACACATACATTTACAACTCTAGGTCACCATACGGCCTTCAACAATGAGTATACTGCATAGTCAGCTATAAAAGGCCCCGAAATGACAAATGTAAAACAAGTTCACAACATATTTATATTATTATGCTACAAAGTTTGCTTGATAAGCATGGAGATTTTTTTATTACCATTTAAAAACAAAAATTATTATGACTTTATGACTTTAAAACTGAATTTTCTAATAGATAATATGTAAATATACAGTAACAGTTTAAATGCATAACATAGGCAATTATTTTTACCTTCTAATTTTCCCTATGTTATATTGGGACATTATTGAGGTGACTGTAAGTAAAGGGAAAGGGTAAGGGGATGGGTAACTATAACTGAAATTACTTCTACATATTCTATTTAACACGCATTCAGAGCAGTCATAATTTAATAACACTAACACTGGTTTTTTGTGATAAAGTTTTCTGTTTTCAATTATTTATCCTATACAAAACAGCTTAATTAAATGTCAAAGTTCTGATAGGTAAACAAGTGAAACTGCGAGCTACTGCTCACTGATACTCGCCCAAATACTTGACGGTAAACAGGAAGTTGTTGAGTGATGAATCTGAAAACGCATCACACAGTATAGCTGACTCATATAAACCCTGAAACCAAATTTCAGAAATCCTTGTAACTTGGATGTCATGTGTAAAATGATGTAAGTGTTCGGTAAACAGGAAGTTGTTGAGTGATGAATCTGAAAACGCATCACACAGTATAGCTGACTTATATAAACCCTGAAACCAAATTTCAGAAATCCTTATGATGTAGTTCCTGTGAAAGATGCGACGAAAAATATATTTTTAAAGGGGGGGGGGTATAAAAATATCCACAATTAATTTTGCCAGAATAACAGGAGAGGCTTCTGAAAAATCAAAGTGCTTGTTAGCGCAATGTGAACACATTTAGGCAATGTTTTGAATTGGAGTTATTTCCTTTGCCCTTAATTGTAGTTGAATATACCTCAACCTGAAAAATCTGTTTGTCAAAATTAGTAGAACATCAGTAACCTGTCAATTTATTCATTTTTTAATCATTAGTAATCATGCATTGTTATTTTCAACCTGGTCATGAAAATGTTTCCTATTTACCCCTAGGGAAAATGCTTTCACCGGAACCAACCACCAGTATTACCCAAAAAACAGGATATTTTCTCATCATTCCAGGACATTGACTGCCACTCTGCTATTCGTTTTCCAAATTTTAAATATCGTGAATTCCAATACATCTCAACAGAGCAATGACCAGCAGAAACTTCAAAAAAAATTGGTGTAATATCTTAATAAAAGTTTATTAAACTCAAATCATAGGTTGGTAACTAAATTTTCTTGCAACTAGTCAGTTCCACTTAACAAGTGTTGGGTACTGAAATCAATATTGCTTTGATATTCATTTGTTAACAGTGCAAGTATGGCATTGGTTATAATAGGGAAAAAGTAAAGGACAATGTTCATTATGGTAATATTATTAATAAAGAAAAGAAGTTTAAGAATAGCCATTCAAATCCTAATATTGGCATTAATGACTTACTGAAAACGATTATAGTTATGAGCCGTTGAGAGCTGTCATTGTGATAGTATAACCTTGTTGATGTATTTGTTTAAAAACATCCAATTTTGACATATTTGCCTTTATTTATATTCACATTTTTTTCTAACTCAGAAAATTTGATTGTTTACAGCATATTGATTCAGTTATTTCCTGTTAAAAACAAGACTAAAATGTTTATAGTTTTACTCTGGCCAAATAATTTCTTACTACTTTAATATGAATATGAAAAGTTAAAACCAATAAAAAAAAATAATTTTCTTTGAGATTCTTTTATTTTTAACTAATAAATATGAAATATTAGCATATATATGCATATCATTCATGTCATTAGAGATAATAAAAATACTAGTCTATTATCAAAAACAGGGAGGGATTCAGAATTTTTTTTTAAGGCAAGATGGTTACATTTGTTGTACCATGAGAAAATGAGTGTTTTGCAGAAAGATGTTTACAAACCATACAATAATACCTTCTGTAGCCCTGAGAAAGAAATCAATTGCAGTCAATGTATATAAAAAGAACAAGCATATTTACCTAATGAATCCCGAATCAACACGGGTGGATTTGCAGCAGACGGTGGCCAGGAAGTATAATTAGCATATATTCCTGATGCAAGTGTCAGATTCAATGGTGATGGTGCTGTTTCCGTGTTCTTAGCTGATGTTTTACTCACAATTAGTCCTATTACCACAAATACCACAGGAAGAAACAAATTAACAAATAATAAAGCCTTGTCTTTCCAACTTCGAATCAGGCGAATTTTGCTCAGGGCCCAAAATTGCTGCGTTTTTAAATTATCTTGTTCTTTGATGAGTGGTGAATTTTCAAAGGCCTCAAGTATGTTGACTGTACTTTTGCTGGTTGGTTCGGCATCCTGGTTGTTATCAAGTGTGTCTGCACTAGCAGCATGATGATGACCCAGTTTCAACACATCTTTAATATCCATGGACTGGTCATCTTCCTCTTAATAATCAAAGAAAAATGTGTTATTAAGAATTGAATGCTTCTTTCTATAATTCAACTTGGGTGTATAAGCGTTGACCGAAGCACATTTTGTATGAAGTGCATGATCAATGTTTTTTTAAACCCTATCAAATTAATATAAATAAAAACATTCAATTCTTATAATTACATTTTTATGCTACAACCATGAAATTATTATATCAAGCTTTTTTCTCGTTTTTCTATGCATTATTCTAAAATTGTCACATATAGCATGTGCAGTCTGTTGTATTTTATAATGCAATAAAATATGTTATTTGAGTTCCATCTTGTTTTTTAAAGTATGCCAGAACCTTGTATTTGGATGAAAACATCCTGATCAATGAAATATTTTTAAACAATAACAAAATGATATTTATTTTGTTGTATGAATGCTATAATTTATACTCCTAGTCCTTTGTTGTTTTTATTTAGTAAACATCACATACTATTTAAACTTTTGAAACTTATTCTACACAAATGTTCTCATCATGATAAAAGTGAGTCAAAACACATTAATAGGTATAAGCTTGTTTCTGAATTCTATTTGTGAATATGAATATATTTTATAATTAGTATAATTCATAATAAAATATTGTTTACACTAAACGGGTATAACATTAAAAACGACAACTACATAGTTTATTAGTTATCATGCATTGTTATTTTCAACTGGCGGTGAAAGTAGTTCAGTAGTTGCTATGTTCTTTAATCAGACCTGTGTAATTGCTGTCTAAAACTGTATCACATTTCTTGTTTTAAGGAGAAATCAGGGATACGAAAAATTGTACACCAATCTAATATCTCTTCATTTTAAATTTCTTTACTTAAAATTACCTAGTGCCAAGAAAACTTCTTCCAGTGTTGTCATAGAAACACCATAACTTTTTATTCCCATAGATTCTGCCAACGTTGATACATCAGTACTTTTAGATTCCAAGGCAGCAAAAAGATCTATAGAATAAAAGTAGTTAAATCAGGTTTTTTGTTACATTGTGATATATATTTGACATAAGAGATAATCAACCAATACCACATACTGTGGATTCAGTATTAATCGTGGGGTACCAGTTTTCGTGGATTTCGTGAGCCATAAATTTCAGTGTTCATTGAAGTATAGATTTCTTTTAGTCCTGAATGTATACCTCTTCAAAATCACAAAAAAAACATTTTTGTCATACCACCAAATTAACACAAATGAAAAATAAAATGAATCAAAAGTTCTTTTATTTCAGAAGTCATTGTATGGTATAAGTTCTTGTAACATTATTTGACCAATAGACTTTTCCAAACAACTGAAAACTGCCAGAACAGCCTTCCTGAAGGTGCTTCTTTTCAGCTGTATTACAAATCTGCTAAATTTGATGTCCAATAGATGGAAAGTGCCATGCTATTTACATATTAAAACATCCCATGTAGCAACTTGTTAAGATAGTATAAAAGACCCGTTTCAAAACAAATTTCTGACTCTATATACTACCTCATGCCAAATTTGACAGTGACAATAAATTAAGTTTGATTTCTCATCCTGATGATATATGATAGAATTATTTGCAACTAAACATTATTGAAACAACAAAAATCAAAGCACCAATCAGACAACTGATATGAAAAATAAATATTATGAATTTCTCGTTGCTGGTGCTGTATATTGGTTGGCTATATAAATATGCTACGCTTACTTTTTTCATTTTTTATATTTTCCACAAGTACTTATGAAAATGTTTTACCAGCATAAATGGTGATGGATGTTTCCCATTATATCCAACATCCATAACAAAAGTGAACAAACATGTGATGTCATATTGTACAGTGAGGGGTTTATTTTTGCAAATTTTACATTCAAAATAAAATCTTGAAAAAAATCTCCTGGTGAAAATTTGCTGTTTAAGGGAATCAAAGACAAGAACCATAAAAACACCGAAATAAAACCTTGCAAATCAATTATGCATTAGAATTTGTGAAATTTAAACTTCTTAAAAATAAAATGCTTTACAGTAGTTAAGTTATTATATTTAACATTATTTGGCAGGAATTCTGTCCAACCAATATGCAAAGAAAGTAGGAATCTACTTTAAGTAAAAATAAGCTAACAAAATCCACAGATCACCAACATATTTTTTGTAATCTATAGAAAATGAAAGGATATGGAGTAAATGTACATGGGACAAAATCGCACACAATACATAGAAAACATAGAAAATTATCAATGAACAGGGCTTTTATTCCTGTTCTTCATCTTGACAGTTGATGTAGGGTCTTCAACAATGAACGAATCATTCATACCCTACAACAAGGTAAATAAACATACTCTTAAAGCTCCCAACTTCCTCCAATGGTAAAGTATAAGCTAATTCCTTTCCATGAGTTCTCCTATGTCTGGCACCATCAACATTTTTACACACAAGATCTGTGATACTTTCATTGTCACTCACTTTACCTACAACCATGCTGTAAAGTAAAAAAATAAATATAACTAAAACATGGATATCCTTCAATGAATGATTGGCTTTTTAAGAAGTAATTTAAAGGTCCCATTGATTTAACTCCACCGAGAACAATTATAGCTATTGTATTTATACAATGGGACAGGTGAATTTGCAAAAATTTAAATAGCCTTACAAAGGGGAACACATTCAGGGGAAAGGTTTCATTTCTTTCTCAATAATTAAAAACTGTAATCATTACATACTTTAAATGATATCCTATTCCAAATCTGTTCTTTAAGAAAAGTGATGAACCACAGCACCTAAGTTGTCCTTTACTGATGAAAGCTTTCCTGTCTAAAATAGAAAAAAAATTAAGTTTTATAAACACATTATACAATAAACAGCTGAGAATGGGAATAAAAAAACAAGAGTGCACACGCTGAAATGTCTCGCCTTCTTTACTAATCATTGATATTATGTTGATAGTCCTAAATATAAAGCTTTATTACAACTGTCACATAAACTTAACATTAACCAAGTAAACTAAACATTGACCAATGAACCATGAAAATGAGGTCAAGGTCAGATGAACCATGCTAGGCAGGCATGTACAGCTAACAATTCTTCCATACAACAAATATAGTTGACCTATTGCTTATAGTTTAAGAAAAACAGACGAAAACACAAAAACTTAACACTGAGCAATGAACCTTGAAAATGAGGTCAAGGTCAAATAAAACCTGCGTGACTGACATATAGATCATAAAATATTTCCATACACCAAATATAGTTGAACTATTGCATATAGTATTAGAAAAAAAGACCAAAACTCAAAAACTTAACTTTGACCACTGAACCATGAAAATGAGGTCAAGGTAAGATGACACCTGCCAGCTAGACATGTACACCTTACAATCATTCCATACACCAAATATAGCTGACCTATTGCATGCAGTATTAGAAAAAAAGACCAAAACTCAAAAACTTAACTTTGACCACTGAACCATGAAAATGAGGTCAAGGTCAGATGACACCTGCCAGCTAGACATGTACACCTTACAATCATTCCATACACCAAATATAGTAGACCTATTGCATACAGTATAAGAAAAACAGACCAAAACACAAAAACTTAACTATAACCACTGAACCATGAAAATGAGGTCAAGGTCAGATGACACCTGCCAGTTGGACATGTACACCTTACAGTCCTTCCATACACCGAATATACTAGACCTATTGCTTATAGTATCTGAGATATGGACTTGACCACGAAAACTTAACCTTGTTCACTGATCCATGAAATGAGGTCGAGGTCAAGTGAAAACTGTCTGACGGGCATGAGGACCTTGCAAGGTACGCACATACCAAATATAGTTATCCTATTACTTATAATAAGAGAGAATTTAACATTACAAAAAATCTGAACTTTTTTTTCAAGTAGTCACTGAACCATGAAAATGAGGTCAAGGACATTGGACATGTGACTGACGGAAACTTCGTAACATGAGGCATCCATATACAAAGTATGAAGCATCCAGGTCTTCCATCTTCTAAAATATAAAGCTTTTAAGAAGTTAGCTAATGCCGCCGCCGCCGCCGCCGCCGGATCGCTATCCCTATGTCGAGCTTTCTGCGACAAAAGTCGCAGGCTCGACAAAAACCTTTGAAAGTCAGGATTAAAGTTTTTTTTAAGTCTGTGTATCTTCATACTCTAAAGAACAAAATATGAAATTGTGATTGTTGTGCAATTAATTCAATATTTCAGGTATTCTCAAGGCCCTTTAACGATTGAAGTATAGATTGATGAATTTGCAGTACTCTTCAGATGTACTAACTGAGAACTACAAATATGTACATTGTTTGGGAAGTTTTTTACTAATCACATTTTTTGGGGGTGTGGTTTGTTATAGTATTCTTTTATTTGTCTTTGTAAAATTTTACTTTTACTGTTTAGTCTTTTTTTGGTAATTTACATTTGACGTGGCTCGGTACTTATACATCCCATCATTGTGTTATTTGTGCTATGGTAAATATTTGTATTCTTGTCTTTCGTTTTTGCTAATGTGCTTTGTCTATATGCCTTTTTGTTTATCTTTGTTGACATATGTGTTTGTTTTTATAGCGATTAAGAGTATAACACAATGTTGACTGCTGTACCCTTATTTTTGACATTTTTACCTTTTATGTCTGTTTGTTTTGTTCACACATCGTTGTCAATATAATGGAATTTTATGTGACTGTCATACAAGTGAGAGGTTTAGCTAGCTATAAAACCAGGTTTAATCAACCATTTTCTACATAAAAAAATGCATGTACCAAGTCAGGAATATGACAGTTGTTATCCATTCATTTGATGTGTTTGAGCTTTTGATTTTGCCATTTGATTAGGGACTTTCCGTTTTGAATTTTCCTCTGAGTTTGACACTTACCAGCTAAAATATCTGCTTCATCCATGAAATGTGTTGTCAGAAGTATAACACGACCTTTCTTCTTTTCTTTCAGGACAGACCATAGATGGCGTCTTGAAAACGGATCTATTCCTGCAGTAGGCTCGTCCAGAAACACAATCTGTATCAATAGATAAAAATATAAACACCACAAACATACGTAAGATACATTTATAGTGTGAAACTATCTATGTATGCTGCCTAAAAGCTGATTTCCTGCTTTTGGGGAAAATCGCTACACATCTAAAGTAAAATAAATACAAATCAGCTAAGTTATCAACTATAAACATTATAATAAGAAACTTTAATGATTTGAGGATAAAATAACTGCAAAAATTACTAGCTATATGTACATTTTTTTGAAAGGGTAAGGAGTAATATTTAAGGCAGGGATAAGAAATACTTTTATTTCTTTTATTGTTGTCTGATATATTAATTTAAAATTGTCTAGTTACCTGAAGAGAACAAAATTACTATATGATGATTTCAAAAATGTCCCAGCATTTATGATCTTGGAAACAGAAATTGATATAAAAAAAAAGAAATTTAACAACGTAGACAGTACCTTGGGATCCCCAATCAGAGCAATAGCTACAGATAACTTCCTCTTCTGTCCACCACTAAGGTTTAATGCAAATGTATCATCTTGATCAAGTAATCCAACATCATTTAATATCTGCTTTATCTGGGAAAAAACCAAGAATCGTTTAAAGTATAATTGTATTTCCTTTCTCTTCTAATTTGTCATTTTTAAGTGGTCAAGGACAATATCTGCTCAACTCAGAAATGTTAATTTTTATAAGAAAGAATAGACAATTTTCATCTTTTCTATAAAGCTGACCTGGCAAGACAAACACCAATGCTATGTTGAAAACAATAATTTATTTAGGAAATATAATACCATATTGATTAAAAGAGCCTTTATGATGATTTAGAACACAATTAAAATGTAATCAAGGGTTTTATCTGATACAATCAGTCGAGTTTAAAGTTAACAAAGAGAATCTCTTTTCCTTTTAAAATTACCTGTAAATTATCATGATATTTTGAATGGTAATAAATGAACAGTAATTTCAGAGATGATGTATTTCAGAAAGGGAAGTAACTCTTGACATATTTATTGATAAATTAAACAGTGAGATTTTCATTTCCTTCTTGTTGAACTTACTGATTTCATCATATTATCTTTTTTGGTTCCTTTAATTCCAGCAAACAATTTAAGATGTTCAATGACTGTCAATTTGTCAAACAGAATGTTGTGCTGTGGACAGACCCCTGTTTTTTGTCTGATCTTCAACATATCTCCTGGGTTATTTATGTCCTGTGTGGAAATAAAAAAATTCACACATTATTTGTAAAATCAAAGCAGATATATAGAGAGGCTGCAAATAATGGAAGTTTGATTTTAAAATGAATTATTTGGCCTTCTTTTACTTTAGGGGACCTAAACCCATATGGAGCTATACTAAACTAACCATTTAAGTTACCCTCAACCTAAACCTCAACTCTAACCCATACCTAGCAATGACACTAGCCAATAACCCTAAAAACTAACCCAACTTAAACCTAACCAAAAATGTACCCTTACAATAAAATACAGGGACCCCTAAAGTAACAGAAGGTTAGAAGAAAAACACACGTCAAATGGGTAATATTTCTAATAGAAAAACATCTACTTTCCCCTTTTACAAAGTTTTACATTATAAAAAGTAAAAAGACAAAAATACCGAACTCCAAGGAAAATTTAAAATGGCAAGTCCCTCATCAAATGGCAAAATTAAAAGCTCAAACATATCAAACAAATGGAAAACAACTGTTATAGTCCTGACTTGGTACAGACATTTTCTTATGTAGAAAATGGTGGGTTGAACCTGGTTTTATAGCTAGCTAAACCTCTCACTTGTATGACAGTCGCATAAAATTCCATTATATTGACAACAATGTGTGAACAAAACAAACGGACATAATAAGTAAAAATGTCAAAAATAGCAGTACAGCAGTCAACATTGTGTTATAATCTTAATCACTGTAAATACAAACAAAATTCATTGTTAAAACGCCAATTAAGACGTGGACTGAAACACTGCATGTTACAACCAGATTATCATATCCTATTTATTGAACTTACCAAACCTAACACTTTCGCTGTTCCCCTTGTTGGTGATACCAGACCAGATAACATGTTGAAAAGTGTTGTCTTGCCAGCTCCATTATGTCCAAGCAAACATGTAATCTGACCTGTGTACATTTCTAGAGACAATTCTAAAAAAAAAAAAAAAAATTCAATCTGTTAATGTCTATTTCATTTATATTTCATTCATTAAAATCCATCTTTTGATCCTATAAAGCCTATTTTCAATACTGGATACTTAATTATGCTGTATAACAAAGAATTTTATAGCTAGAATGTTTGATACAACTCAGAAAAAAAATTTGCAAGCATACATAAGACAAATTTCTAGTTCTTTTTTAACTTTTCAAATAACAATAAACTGTTGAAAGTGAGAACAGTATGTAAATTAGATAGTAAAACGCATATGTTGAAATTAAAATAGCAATACTTTAACATGCAAAATATTCAAAACATTGAAAGTCAATGAACCATGACAGGTGCAAAGCCAAATAATCTGTTGAAACGAAATATGTTAATGCTAATACAACTGCTTACAGAATATTATTGACTTGTCAAAGGTGGTTCCCCCGTAAACTGACCTAATTACTTAATCCTCATTGCAATTAGACCAGTCAAGGTAATAACTGTCCACCAAATATCAGTTAAACTACCTTTGAGGGTTCCCCTTAAACTAACCTAATTACAAACTTAAACGATTGATGGCACCAGAGAAACAGAATGTCTAAGTCTCACCCCCCCATTATTTCCTTATGGCAAGACAATAATTTACATTAGTATACTATGCTTACTATTTACTGCAGTGACTGTTTCTTCTTTTCCACTGAATTCTTTTGTTAGGTTTAAAATTCTGTAAGAAAACCAGATTTAATAATTACTGTATTTTCAACTTTAACATCTTGGAAATTTTCTTTATGAAAAGTGAACATTCAGATACATATAAGTTAATGGAACCCATTATTTAAATTACAAAGTAATCCTGCCATGTGTTGTTACAAAATTCATTGCCTTTGATCCCCCAGTGGTTACTTCGATCAGCTTAAAATTAAGAAAACATCCGTATGGCTAAAATTTTTGTTCGGAACCCTTAGTTTCAACTTGCCTTGTTATTGAATGGATATTTCTCTGGCACTATCTAAAGAATCCTTATAAATTACAAGAATACACCTTATCGCTATTCCCGCTTGACCCGAGAATCTGTCCCGCTCGAACTTTTGATGTCACACAACAATCACTTTTCAATTGTGGTGTCAGATATTTTCTATTATGACGTCAAAATTTTACGGGAACTTGTGTGATGTCCAGTAATGGCGGACAAATAGCGATAAGGTGTATATATGTCCACATGACAATAGGCCTCACTCCCAAGTCCACACATCTATGATCAGTAAACCACAAATTTTGTATCGAAACCATAGTAAGGCCTAAATTTAATAAGTTCACACTTCCTAAGTTCAAGTTGATGTGACCATAATATTTCCCTGTTCTATCGTATGTGGAGCATAATTAAAATCATGTTTAATATTGGCTATAGTTGATATCAGTCCGGGACACTAATACTTTGTTCATGGCTTTACATTTTGATTGTCTATACAGGTAACATACTATAATGATCAAATCTGAAGATTTGGAAATTATGATTGCAAGGATCTTATATTAGGTGTACAGTCATCTTACTTCCCTATGACTTTGGATAAGTATTAACTACCTGACTCCTGTATGCTGTCTCATATCAGTGGTGACTTTCTCCACATCATTACCAAATAAGGCATCATAATCTTCATCCATTTCATCATAATCAACTTCTCTGGTACCTGGACACCAGTAGGATTTCATAAAGATATAATACGGTGGCTTTTTGGCACCATATTCAGCTAAAACAAACAATTTAAGACTATTCATTTTGAATGCATTTAAAAATATGTCAATTTACGGTACATTGAATGTGTTCTGTTCAAAGCACTTTACAACATACCTGGTATGATATTAGCAAAAATTTGGAAAGCTGGGAGAAGATGACCATATGGGAACATAAGAGTTTTAAGATCAAGGTACAGTAAATGGGCTATGTCACAGATTTTGGTAAAATTTTGCATACAACTTTCGATCCTTGAACTTTAACTGAAAATTGAATAAAATGCTCCGCTGGGGCGCAGCTTGATACGACTGCAGAGGTCGAACCCTGAACAGTTGGGGCAAGTATGGACACAACATTCAAGCTTGATACAGCACTGAATTTGGATTGTAATTAAATATTTGACACAGCATAGGTTTCTCACACAGAATGAAAGTGGTCTAAGAACTTAAAAATTTTTAATTTACCTATTCAAACCATATCATTATTATTTGCTTTTATATATAAATCAGAAATAACCAATTTAAAATGGAAAATTTTAAAGAATAAAAAGGAAAAAAAAATCCCCCCCCAAAATGTTTTGAACCCCCTTATGATTCATCACCCCCAAACTCAATCCCAGCTTTCCCTTTGTGGTATGGTACCTTGCAGTACAATTTCAGAGAGATCCATACACTTGAACACAAGTTATTGTCTGGAAACTAGAAAAATGCTTGTTTTTTGGCCCCTTTTTGGCCCCAAACTCCTAAACGTTTAAGGCAATTACCCCCAAACTCAAACCCAGCTTTCCCTTTGTGATATGGAACCTTGCAGTACAATTTCATAAAGATCCATACACTAACACACAAGTTATTGTCCTGAAACTAGAAAAATGCTTATTTTTGGCCCCTTTTTGGCCCCTTATTCCTAAACTTTTTGGGCAAATACCCCCAAACTCAATTCCAGCTTTCCCTTTGTGATATGGAACCTTGTAGTACAATTTCATAAAGATCCATACACTTACACACAAGTTATTGTCATGAAACTAGAAAAATGCTTGTTTTTTGTCCCTTTTTGGCCCCTTATTCCTAAAATTTGGAGGCAATTACCCCCAAAATCAATCCCAGCATTCCCTTTGTGATATGGAACCTTGTGATACAATGTCAGAGAGATCCATACACTTACACACAAGTTATTGTCATGAAACTAGAAAAATGCTTGTTTTTTGCCCCTTTTTGGCCCCTTATTCCTAAAAATTGGAGGCAATTACCCCTCAAATCAATCCCAGCATTCCCTTTGTGATATGGAACCTTGTGGTACAATGTCAGAGAGATCCATACACTTACACACAAGCTATGTCTGAAAGTTACTAAAATGCTTATTTTTGGCCCCTTTTTGGCCCCTAATTCCTTAACTGTTGGTACCATAACCCCCAAAATCAATCCCCACCTTCCTTTTGTGGTATTGAACCTTATGGTAAAATTTCATTGAGATCCATTCACTTAAACTAAAGTTAGAGTGCGAAAACTAATGTGTCTTCGGACGACGACGACGATGACGACGACGACAACGACGACGCCAACGTCATACCAATATACGACCACAAAAATTTTTTTGCAGCCGTATAAAAATACTGAGTTCATCTCTTTTATTTTCAGAAATATTACTGAATTAATTCTTTCAAGATAAGTGAACATTTGTACAGAAAGCACTTAATACATAAAAATTAGCAAGAAAGGTTTATAAATTTGTGTCTTAAAATCATTAAATTTTCAATATCAAATCCATAGATTTTTCTAAATAAACTGTTGACACACAGATATGTCTTGTCTTTATGTAATTTCAAAAGTTTAAAGCAAATTTTGAAAATAAAATTGTAATACATTAACATGTAAACTATGCAAAATATTCATAGTCAAAGAACCATGACTGAAGATGCAGGGCTAAGATTCAAATAAGTCTGTGGAAATGAGAACTGCCAATGCTAATACAATTGCATACCAAATACCATTGACTTATCATAAGTGGTTCCCTTTTTACTGACCTCAAGACAAGCTTTAACATGAAAACAATGCAAATTTTCAAAGTCAATGAACCATGAAGGGGTGGAGCTATTACAAAAGGTATATCCATGGAAATTAGAAGTGCAAATGCTATCACAACTGCATACCAAATATCAATGACCAACCACTAGTGATTCCCCTTAAACTGACCAACATGAAAACTAAGCAAAAGTTTCAAAGTCGATAGACCATGATAAAGGTGGCCAAATCATCTCCATGGAAAGACATGTGTTAATACTAAAACAACTGCATACCAAATATTGTTGACCTACCACTAGTGGTTATCTATTAAACGGACCATGTCATAAACTAATACATATAAACTAAGCAAAATTTTCATAGTCAATAGACCATGATTGAGCAGGTAGGGTCAAATAATCTCTATGAAAATGAAATGTGACAAAATAATACAACTCCATATCCAATATCATTGACCTACCACTAGTGGTTATCTATTAAACGGACCATATCATAAACTAATACATATAAACAGAGCAAAATTTTCATAGTCAATAGACCATGATTGAGCAGGTAGGGTCAAATAATCTCTATGAAAATGACCTAATCTCAAACTAATAATGTAAAATAAATAAAAGTGTCTACTGTTAAGGCAATATAACATCACTGAGGTAGTTGACCCAAATAATCAAAGTGATTTCAGGGTGAAAAAATACCACAAAATGTCGAAATATATGTAATGTCATTGAATGGTAAGCTGGAAAACATTTTTGACTACGTTTTTCAGTACTAACTAGGGAACAGTTTGGTTAATACACCAAAAACAAAGATACCTTATAATTAAATGTTGATACTTACTTGGTATGACATTATCAAGATACATGGCCAAGACAAAGTATAAAACACTATCAAAAAGTAACATGAACATTGGAATATAGAGTGGAAAGTCTCCTTGTCCGGCAGTCTTAAAATCCATTCCAACTGTTATATCCAAAAACACTGCCTGAAAAATATCACAAAAAGCACTGTAAAGCTACAGAAACAAAGTTATGCTTGCCAACATAAAAGATTGGTATCAATTTCAGAAAGCTGAGATTTGCAGTTAAGGACAAAAATGGAACTAAAATTTCATAGGATGGATGGACACACAGGCGTAGACAGAGGTAAAGCAGTATACTCCCTCCATTGGAGAAGTTATTTAATGATCATTTTTATATTTTCTGTATTCAAATTCTTATTATAAATAACTTATACTAGATTGATAGCATACCTGATCAATAGCTAATGACACACAGCATGGTGAAATTAGACACATAAATCCCCTGGCTACTGCCGGAATGGAATATGTCACAGAACCATCTTCTTTAATCTCTCTCGTCAAACTAACAACCAAGTACAAACAGCTTAACAACATCACAAATAAACTGGCCACGCCTCCCGCTGTTTGTGCCTTGTTAAAGAATGGTGTTAAAAGACAGGCAAAAGAAATAATAGAAAGTCCGTAAAACATCAGAATCAGGAAAAACAAGAAAACATTACTGCTGACAAAAAATCCGCTGACATATGCCAATATTACTGTTACTACGGTAACAATAGTGATGTAAATAAGGTACAAAAGTCCCCAGGAAAGCCTACAATGATAAATAAATAATGATAAACAAAGCAAGTACTTAAATCATTATCATTATTATAGACAAACAACTAGAGGCTCACATGACCTTGTATCAGTCAAATGGCAGTGATGTCTGCTCTCATTAACTTTTTATCTTCAAGTATATTGCAGATAATTTTTTAACATAGAAAAAGAAACAATCATACCAAGAATTTTATACCCTACAACTTATATTTGTGTTATACTTTTTCAGAAAATTTGAAAAAAACTTTTAAATACATCTTTTAGATCAAAATTGAAGACAAGTATTGTCAGGTCGTATAAATTCGTACTATGCTTGCTTTTTCCATGGAAATTGTGGTGTCAGCATGCTCTTAGTCTTAATAGCATTACCACCCATAACACAGGAATTTATAAAAAACATAAACATGATCGCCTCTTTTGGTTCAAGTAGGATAAAGACATTTCTATGATTTTTAGTAACAAAGTAGGAATAAAAGGGGTATCTAAAAAAAAAGAAGGAACTTAGGGCCAACTGAAAGTCTGCTCCAGGCATTTTGGGAAAATAATTAACAAACAGAATTTGAATTTATTTTAACTCAACACTTCTATCAAATTTATTAATTTTTCTTTCTTTCTCTTGAACAATATATATATATATCTAGTCAGGAAATTCACAAACTAACCAAGCATCTATGATGAGTTAATTCACACAAATATTGAAAGGGTAAATCTCGTAAATTGCTATTTTCATCTTCATTTTCAACAGCTGTCTAAACTACAAGGAAAATAATATTATAAAGCAAATATTTTACCAAAAAGCAGAATCTCGTAAACCCATCATTTTCATCCCTTCTTTTATCTTTTTCTCTTTCTCTGCTACAAGATGCACAGTGAGAAAATTAACAAATGGAGAGTATGCTAAGACAAAGTATATTGACGATATCACTTGGATGTACGTCGAATCTGGTTTGTAGGATGGCTTTGGTAACATCTCAACAGTTACATCTGGTAATGGGTAGGAAGGATAGTCCATCTATAAAGAAAAAGTTGAATTATCATACCATATAGACACAGAATAGACAAATTTATTAGCTTCAAACTGCTTTTTACAGTTTGTTCTTATGTTGTACTGTTGCAACACTGTCCCAGGTTAAGGGGAGTGTGTGATGTAATTAATATGACATAATGAAGGAAATATTCCAGATTTTAGCTAAAAACAGAAAGTATTTTAGAATTTTTGGCTAAATTTACATAGATCTCATGCATCGCAAAAATATATTCTTGTCTGCAAGTTGTTTATTACAAACTGCACTCCATGTGTCAATATGTTTTTGGAGAGGGTTGTTCTCTATATCATATCTTAGCAAATGGAAGTCAAACAGTCAAAATTTTGAGGAATGTATAACCTGTAAAAAGGAAACATTTTACACAATAAACTGTTGACAAAGAGATATGTCTCGCCTATCGGCATAACATTCAGAAAGAGACAATCTGATGGACAGCAACATTGCTAATTAATTCAAAGTCGCTGGACCAACTAGTGGGTAGGGCCTGGAAATGGTTGACAAACTCAGATGTACAGACAGCAATGTAACTTTATAGAAAATATTGTCTATTGTAAGTATTACTATAAAACTAACTTAACTAGCATTGATCAAGAATGTGTTGATAGTACACGAATGACCGTGAAATTGGGGTCAAAACTCTAATTTGGCATTAAAATTAGAAAGATCATATCATAGGGAACATGTGTACCTAGTTTCAAGTTGATTGGACTTCAACGTCATCAAAAACTACCTTGACCAAAAACTTTAACCTGAAGCGAGACAGACGGACGGACAGACGAACGGACGCACATACCGAAAAACATAATGCCCATAATGTTTGCTTTGAACAGGTTATAGAATATTCATCTGTTACAAGGAACAAGTCGAGACAGACTTCTGCTTTATGGTTCATTTAACATAGCTTTAATTATAGCTGTTAGAAATTCTACCTTGTAAACTGGATGCCACAAAGATCAACGTATTTACAGTATTAAATAAATTGCTTCGCCGAGCGCAGCTGGATACGACCGCAGAGGTCCAACCCTGAACAGTTGGGGCAAAAATGGACACAATATTCACGCTTGATACAGGTCTGAATTTGGATTGTAATTAAAGACCAAACAGCCTATTCAGTTCTACCAGTAATTTTTCCTTAAAATTTTATGTGAAGGTATTTCATGATTTGAGGAACAAAATAAGATAAAAAAAATTGGGGGTCACCGACTTAGTTTTGTCACTATAGCAACCTCAGTTTCGTGTTTTCCCGAATATTAACATAATATTTGCTTGTTATTTAAACTCTCAAAAAATCCCATTATATCAAACCTACAAGCATAATTCTTGTTTCATGTTAAACAGTAGATTTGTGTCTATCAAATACAGGTTCAAGAGTTTAAGACTCTTATTGTTTTGATATTAAAAAAATATGATTTATTTCATTCCCGCCAAAAATAAAACGCAAGAATGAAAAACGTTTCAAGTATTAAAAAATATCTACCAGTGATTTTTTCATAAAAATTTCAAGAAAGAAAGTGCCATGTGTACTCTTCAAAATAAAGCATAAAAATGTATATGTCACCGACCTTTCAAAAAAGTTGTGATTAATTTTCATGTTTTTTTCTCGTTCGTTTTGAAGAAAAGAGTTGTCTTTCTTAAGAACATTGAATCTGACGTCATAGTACAAGTTTTCCTTGCTGGCGCACTGTTTGAAAAAAAATTGCAAATTGGACGTTTGAAACCCACATTTAAATTTTCAAAAATCAAGAATAACAACTATATTCACCTACTTTATTATCCGGTAATACAAGAGATCACATGTATGTATCAGTATCAGATCTCATGATGTTGTTGCCGCACAAATTTAACCTTCGGAAACACCATCCGTCGGAATAAAAAATTGTTCGAAATAACCTTTTTACGACGCTTTAGAAAGGAAAGTCTGTTTTTGTCCTCTCCCTCTCAATCAAAATCATTGAAAATAAAAAGAGAAATGAAAGATGACACTGGCTAACTTAAAGACTATTTGACTATATTAGACTAGATGTGTGGGTTTTTTTGTCGCGTCAATTTCATAACTTCGCCCTAGCGCACTCTTTCGCTACTGTTGACAGACGGACAGACATTAGCACGGACGGACTTCTTTATACCATTATGTGTTCCGACTAAGACGAGCGTATACAAATTATTCCATCTAGTTTGTGGATTCATTACTTCTGAATATTTAAAATATAAGAAAATTAAAATTATAGGTTTAATATATGAATTAAATTTTTTGATTCTAAAACGTTTTACATCCATTTAACCTATCATAAAATACGATCACCGTTATTACTACCTCACGAGTTTTGAATAAATGAGACAGTAAATATAAAATACAAATAAGTTTTTAATTCAAAAATTGATTTAGAATCTAAGAAATAATTTTCCGTTGAAAACTATAAAGTATTTCTCAAAACAGGATGAAATATTGTGAATCTAAATAGCTCATTTTGGAAATTAAAACAAAGACAAGGTTGTATGTATAGATTGCAGGCATTGAAAATCGAAATTTGTTTTCAATCTTTCCGGTCATTGTAGCTTTTTGAAAGTGAGAAATTTTATGTTGGATCTTATTCTTGAAGCAATTGTTTTGTCATAAGTTAAATTTACAACAATTTTAGTTTTAAAAACCGTAAATTTTTATTTTAATTTACATTCACTGAGTATATTAATTTCTTATATTTTTTGCCGTAAGCTTCTGTGAGATCAGGCGAAATCTTTATCATTTCTCCTTGAGACAATTTGAAATGAAACAAATGACAAAAGACAATGAACCTTTATCATTTTTATTTCTACTATAAGATTTTGTCAATTAAGCAGTATAGATAAAATTTAACTTCATTGCAAGATCACCATTATTTAACGAGAATCTTAAAGAAATAAGTTAATCGTTGCCAGTATATCGAAACTTCTAGAAAGTATTGTTTATCGGCCTATCCTTCTGAAAACTCAGTTTTGAAAATCACATATTAAGTTAAAATTCTAAGCGTAAGTCATATAAATTTACCAGTGTAAAGTTACACGGGCGTACGAGATTTGCGCCGATTTAAAAACAATTTCGATCTTTAATTTGCGCCGATTTGATTCTTTCATTAGCGCCTATTTTATTTTTTTTTTATCACTAGCCCGATACTTTATTTGCTATACGAGTAAATACATGTACATGTAGTAAACCTAGATTGTATACTGCATGGTAATATATGGATATAAATAGTGTTCCCTTATGTTTAAGATAATTTTGGTCATATTGTTCGAGAACTTCGTTTTGACACGAGAAAGAAAAGATGGACTTCGTTATTTGCAAGTACAACAAGTATAGAAAAGATAAAATGACAAGAAAGGAATATATCAGATGTGTGGCATATAAATTCTCGGCAAGATAATAATTCATTGTACAAGTATTAAATTTTTATGGATTTTATTATGGTGCTTTGAAATGCTGTAAATGGAATTTTACTCCATGATTTTAGTGGATGTAAACAGAGTGCACAAATATCTTTTGAATTGACTTATCCTGCTCGAAATTCTACTCCCACCTCCCCTTTGTGAGCAGGGGACAACAGTTATATACATGTTATAATTGACAATTCATAACATATGTACAACTGGCTAACGGAAGAGGTTTATGTGATAAATAAAAAAATAACTTTCACCTATAATTTACCTGTACACAATCGGCGCAAATGAAAGACAAAATCGGCGCAAGTGAAAGAAAAAAGTGAAATGCAGATCGGCGCAAATGCAAAAAGCCTAGTTCAAAATTTATATTTTTATTATTATTATTATTAGAACAGAGGTTACAGATAGTGTAGTATCTTTTGTGTCCATTTGTGTTTAATTTCCACTAGGTATCAGTGCGACGCTTAATTCCACTTCACATTCTTGTAAGACGTAGTTTTAAGCGTACACCATGTTGGAGTCCGTGAAAAACGCGAAATAGGACGTTATAATTTAACGTTTTTTTCATGGCTAGAAACAACGTCATAGAGCTTTTATGTCACTACCAAGTTGCGTTAGTTGATGCGCATCAACAATAGGCTGTTTGGTCTTTAAATATTTGACACATAAAAGATTTCTGACACAGAATAACTGTAGTCAAAGAACTTAGAATTGGTTATATGATTTGAATTTATATTCAATTTTTTGCTTTTGTGCAATACACTTTGCTGTTGCGAATTGACTCCACCTCCCCCCACAAAAAAAATTTAAAATTTACACCCCCCTTTTTTCTTTTCTTTTGTGCAATACACTAGGCTGTTGCGTATTAACGTCATACCAATATACGACCGCAAAATTTTTTTGGGGTTGTATCAAAATGAAAACAACATGTTATAAATTTTATGCGTCCGAAGTGCTTTTCTGGATTTACCTGCATCAGGAACACTCAATGCCAAATATTTGAAAGCCAAGGATGTATAAGAACCGAAACAGTTGAAGATATTAAGTCGTACCCTAATTAAAACTGTGTCTATAGCTAACTGTAGCAATGAGAATCCTGGATTTAAATACTGGTTAACATCACAGTTAGATTGATCCAATCCATCTCCATCTCGGCACTGTCCTGAACAATAGAAAAATAACATTTCAGCTTGCTATATAATCATCTCTCACAGCTATTTCAAAAGACTTAAACAAATTCACAAATTAAAACATTTCAGTTTGTTATATATAGATTCTACCACTGCATCTAATGTGAAACGATATTTATCCACTCGAGACAGTTAAATTTTCAAATTTAAAACGTGAGGCTCGCCGAGCGTTTTAAATATTTAAAATTTAACTGTTGAGATTAGATAAATATCGTATTACACGAGATTTGGTGGTGGAATCTGTTTCTCTAATGATTTTCAAACAACATGCAGGCAAACTTATTCCCTCTTTTTGAATGATCTGTAAAAGATGTGTTCTTTCTATGTGACGTCATCAGACATGGTCGCCTTTTTTCATGCCGTCACAATAAAAAATTCTGAAAAAAGCAAGTAAATTCTACGTCATAATCGGATTTTAACCAATGAAGAACTGAGATCGAATGAACCACACGTTGATTAAATTTTTTATACAATGGGTGCAGAAAGGGATAAATTGACGAAGAATTATTTCTCTAATTCTTCGTCAATTTATCCCTTTCTGCACCCATTGTATAAAAAAAATTTAATACCTATATATGTCGAATTTTCTTGCTTTCCTCTGAATTTCCTATTGTGACGGCATGAAAAAAGGCGACCATGCCTGATGACGTCACATAGAAAGAACACATCTTTTTACAGATCATTCGAAAAGAAGGAATAAATTTGCCTGCGTATTGTTTGAAAATCATTAGAGAAACAGATTCCACCACCAAATCTCGTGTAATACGATATTTATCCACTCACGACAGTTAAATTTTAAATATTTAAAACGCTCGGCAAGCCTCGCGTTTTAAATTTGAAAATTTAACTGTCTTGAGTGGATAAATATCACACTCGATGCAGTGGTAGAATCTATATATCTCTCACAGCTATGAGATGTTAAAAAATGAAAAGTACAATCAAGTCTAATAAAATATCCTGACTAGATTGAAGTGATGAATTTCACAAGACTTAAAAACAAATTCACAAATTAAAATTGTTAAGAAAACAACTTTTTCCTTAATCTACCAAGTAGAATTTGCTTGTTTATGAAAAGCTGTGTGCATTTAACTCAAGTTGGGTCAAACTTTGCAGAAAAGGGAAATAACTCTTACTCAAATTACATGTAAGTCAATAGAAACCTAAAGGTAAGCTTGCAAATCATATAAAACAAGTGAAACTGCGAGCTACTGCTCACTGATGATACCCCCGCCCAAATACTTGACGGTAAACAGAAAGTTGTTGAGTAATGAATCTGAAAACGCATTTCACAGTATAGCTGACTTATATAAACCCTGAAACCAAATTTCAGAAATCCTTATGATGTAGTTCCTGAGAAGAATGCGACGAAAAATATTCATAGGACAGACAGACGGATGGACGGATGGAAAAGGTAAAACAGTATACTCCCACTTTTGTAAAGTGGGTGTATAAAAAGGTGTTAATCAAATATAACATGCAGAAGCAATATGATGAAGTCAATCAAAAGTCTTTGCATGATACAGTGATGCAGAGAATATCATTCAGTAATTTTAGCAACAATATGGTCAAGTTAACAATGAACCTCATGTTCAGTGGTTGTCGTTTGTTGATGTGGTTCAAAAGTGTTTCTCGTTTCTTGTTTTTTATATAGATTAGACTGATGGTTTTCCTGTTTGAATGGTTTTACACTAGTCATTTTTGGGGCCCTTTATAGCTTGCTTTTTGGTGTGAGCCAAGGCTCCGTGTTGAAGGCCGTACTTGACCTATAATGGTTTACTTTTACAAATTGTGACTTGGATGGAGAGTTGTCTCATTGGCACTCATACCACATCTTCTTATATCTAATAAAAAAATTACAGTTAAATTCTAGATTTTAGAAATGACAAGAGCTATTTCTTAGCTATCAGTCTGTGCATCACAAGCAATTTCGATCTTTTAGAAAACTTTTTTAACTTACCAGCACTAGAAGTCCAAGATCCTGTGCCAGGAACTTTCGTTGAAGGGAATCTCAATGCATACGAGTAATTATCTCCCCCTGAATATTCAAAGATGATACCGGCAGCAACATTATCTGTATTAGCTTCATAGTAGTCATCCATTGCTGTTTTATCAGTGAAATACATAAGAGACGGACCTTGACCAGATGTTATATTACCCATTTCTTCAAAAACTTTAATCGTTTCATTGGCCATAGAATGTGAAGTAGAAGTGTCTGGCGATATCAGAATGTATTTTCCATTAAAAAAGTTTCGTTCTAAAAATTTAGCATTAGTCATTGAGTATGCTGGGAAGTCACTTATCCTTGGTTTTTCTGTGCCTTTGTTGAAAGCCTTTATCAATATCAGAATGGCAATAAAGTATAATGGATACAGAATTTCCTGGAAAAAATATCAGAAGAGCATTGAAACATTCAAAAATGTATAGATGTTATTCCATTCTTAAAATATAATAATTGCTTGGGTATTTTTATAAGGAGAGGGTCATGATTATTTATGATATATCAAATTTAATTATTTTAAAAACATCAATAAAAGTCTGACTTTAGAACCACTATTTATTAGTTTGACTATTGCACTGGACATCTCAAAACTTTACAAACTCATTATGAGAAACTCTTTGATTGCAATTAAATATCAATGGATCTAGTATGGACTTCTAATCTTTTCAAGTATAAAGAACCAAAAAAGATGTTTCCTAGCAGCAAAATTTTTTACTAGTACTTAACATACAATGTACTAGATCCAACTTCTTTTGATGTTTTGTGATGTTGGGCTGCTGTCTCATTGACCTATACCCCACATATTCTTTTCTAATAAAATGATCAAAAAAATTAATTATGGGCATACAATACAGTGACCTGTGAGGTAATTAAGTCACTTACCTAAATTTTAATATGATGACCTATATATTGTCAACAAGTATTATCACTGTATATCTACTGTTAGCTCAGGTGCATTAATATACAAAACTAGCTGTTCCATAATACGCCTATCATTTATAGAACCAGCTAAACTCAAATTTTTGACATTAAAACCCACGTTTCGAAGCTTCGAATACAATAGGGTTATCTCTATTTTGATGCAAAAGAAACAAATCAGTCCTTTTCAGTTATTATTTCAATGTAAAATGTCATAAAACTAAAACTCCGCAAAATGATGTTATAGTCTTTGGCAACTAAACAAAGTGATATCATATATATATGCTTCCGGCATCAAATGTAAACACCAGTCGTTTTCAGGCTTCTTATACGCCTCAGAATGTGATAAAGTTAGATAAAAAGAACAGTTTAGTTGAAAAATGTGAGTTTTTTATTTATTATTGAAAAATATATAATATTATCATATGGGGTAAAACAGAACATCCAAAACAGTATCTTGTGCACAATATAGGGCATTCGTGGCTGACAAAATAACCATGTTGTCCTATTAGCATGATTAGTATGGAAATAATTCATAACTGCCTTGAATTATTTCTTAAATGTTATTTTTTGCGACATTGAACTGTGACATACATGTATCGGGAAAAGATGCATTTTTCAACTGATTTTAAGCATTATCTCGAAATTGAATACATGGACCCCTCTTTTTATAAATAACATTTGGCTTGATTATGTAAAAAGATTATTTGTACGAATTTTAATGAACAAATCACCGATGAATTTTTTTAAAATTAAATAAATATACAGCAAAAAATGTCATTTTTTTCTCTAAAATCATGAAAACTTAATAAATAAAAGAAGAATGTGTTTGAGTACACAAATGCACAAAAATTTGCATGAGGCAAACTTAAGTTAAGAGTGCGGAAACAAAAATAGGACAGACGGAAAGATGAACAGATGGACTGACAGTCAAGGGTAACACTTAACGCCCGCGTTGCTTACGGCGGGACATGAAAATGAATTCAGGGTATACTTATGAAAAGATGATACTCTTAATGTTTTAACAAAAATCAGCTGTGTTTATCTTTTGAAACGAAAAAGGTAGGTTTGACTGTCCAAAGGACAGAAATGTCCAAGAAACCGAAATTTTGAGTAAATGTCTAAATATTTCACCTCATTTTCCTCTAAAAGAAGCACAAAAAGGTATATCTCTTATTACATATTTGAATTCACTAGGTGAAAAATAGCTTGTATGCAAATTTTTGTCAAAAATTCACCGCGGGATTGAAACTGTATTGTATGCCCTTGAGAGCATCATTAACATGTTTTTTTTATCTAATTTATTAGGATTCTTTTTTTTCCATCATTTTTCTCAAACAATATGCTGTTGTATTTCATGTAAAATATAAAACAGGTTGTAGTGATGTTTCTGATGATCGATTATAATGGAAAATCAGTTGGTTAAAGGGGCATTTGCTGTCAAATTCATGTTCACCAATTTGTCCTAAATTCACATATTTGATTTATAGCATATTAAAACCTATATCCAAATTATAAAAAAAAGTCTAAAATAAACAATTTACGATGCATGAACTCAATCATATGTATCAGATTAATAAAAATATGCTGCATTTCCAGTGTATTTTAGTCTAGATGCCATCTAATAAACCATCTAGGCAACTTCCGAAGACTGCCGATGGTCATATAACCCGATAAAACATATAGATATAAATAGATAGCAAACACGTGCAATTGGATTTTTCCAGTCCATTTGATTTGATATAATAGGTTAAAACAAGAATGTGTCCATAGTACATGGATGCCTTACTCGCACTATCATTTTCTATGTTCAGTAGACCGTGAAATTGGGGTCAAAACTCTAATTTGGCATCAAAATTAGAAAGATCATATCATAGGGAACATGTGTACTAAGTTTCAAGTTGATTTGACTTCAACTTCATAAAAAACTACCTTGACCAAAAACTTTAACCTGAAGTGGGACAGATGGACGGACAGATGGACGGACCAACGAACGAAGTATATGTAATGTTTTAGCATATTGAAAATGTTTATATTCGTGTTTCTGCAAGCTTTTTAAAAACACAACTGATTGTATTATGGATAGTTGGTTGGCTTGACTTTACCAATAACAGTATAACCAATCATGAGTTGCAAATTTCAACCAGTTGAACAATGTTAATAGCTTTTTCATACATGCTTCTCTAATGGTTTTTAGACGATATGTAGACAAACTTAATCTTATTTTCAATAATCTGTTAAAAGATTGTGATCTTCCTATGTGATGTCTTCAGCCATGATGGCCATTATCATGGAGTATCAATCATCCTATGTGATGTCTTCAGCCATGATGGCCTTTATCATGGAGTATCAATAGGAAAATGTCAGCGAAGCAAGAAAATGTTACCTCATAATTCAGATTTGACCACTGAGAAACAAATTCAGCGAATGTTTTGTTATAAAAAGTATTAAAACTGTTCAGGGAAAAAGTAAATCTGCTGAAATACTATATACATTGTACATGCACTACTTTATAAAAAAATAATGCTTAGTTCAGGAAATACTGTAAGATTTCTACTGATATTTAACTTAAATAAAATAGTGTGATTTTTTACTAAACATTTAAAAAAAAAATTTCTGGATTTTTTTCTTTTTATTTGAGTTGACATGTTCACTATAAACAATCTAATAAAACATACAAACTAAAATCAACTATGCAATGAACTTCACTGATAGTAAATTACCTGTGCTACTTGTTTTTTATTTCTCTTCTTCAGTAAAATATTCTTCCACATAAGAATTTTAAACTGATCCCAAAAAGTTGCCATTTTTTCTGAAAAAGAACCAAAAGAGAAAATTTACCTCTGAATTAAGTTTACCATTATAAACAAATGATCCGAGGATTGTAAGTTTAGTCAGTTATAGGAAAAAAGAGAAAAAAACATGATTTTATATCAAATCAAAGTTCATCAAGCATAGAATGAAGGTCATAGTTACCTTTAAGTTTTTATATTGAAGCCATAAGCATGGTAAGAAATACTATTTGTAACCACAAAAACTTAAAACACGTGAAGATAATGGGATGTTTTTGTTCTCCTACCTTCAGAATAATTAAGAGTGTGACAGCAGGCCACTTGGTATCAGAGAATTAAACTTATACAAATGAAGTGTAATATGTAGGTTGGAGTGACCTATTTCTAAGCGATATATAATAAATATGAATCTGCACACCAATTTATTGGTAGAATTTCAATTTGAATCTGAATACTGAATCTGGACGTCCTGCATGTGATTATGGACATGTTATATCGCAGTATTTAGAAGTTCTTAATTTAAATAAAAATGTATATTTGAAATTTGTCTCCTTTTACACCATACCAGCAATCAAGTTTTTATACTCCCCTTTTAGCTCTGATCATTTAAGTCATCAAGTTCTCTTCAAAGAGAGTTATTAATTCAATGTAAAATTACATTCTATACAACATATTTCACTACTTTTTCAAAATGATTCACCTACAGTATTTCCAAATTCAATCACTTGACTAGACTAAGGATCATTTAAAGCTATCAATACTTGAGTATGACAGCAGATTGTATGTTGACCTCAAGATGTCTTTGGGTTTTATTTTGTTTGTGTTGGGATGTTGTCTACTTGATGTTAATATAAAATTAAAGGATATGGGGTATTAAGCTCATATTTACTTTTTTTACTTAAGTTATAAAGATATTTACCTAGATTATGTAGGGTCAGCTGTTGTTTAATTTAGTGTAAATAAAATCAAGTTATGTTTGGAAATTATATTACCTGGTTGTTGACACTGGTATGTCCTCTGTGTCATGTGTAAATGTTCAATTATTGTTGACACTGGTATGTCCTCTGTGTCATGTGTAATTGTTCAATTATTGTTGACACTGCTATGTCCTCTGTGTCATGTGTAATTGTTCAATAATTGGTCAGTTTTTAATTTAAATATCCATGTTCAACAATAAAACTAGTCTACTCCTGTAAAATAATAAAGTTACATTTATATTGAGTTATATCCATAACCTTGTTTTGATGAAGATGGATAGATCTGTATTTTGGTCATAAACAAGCTTCTGTCCAAATTTCATAAAATTCCATGAACAATGATGAAGGTTTGACAAAGTTATTGATGACTGAAAAACTTTAACCTCAGATTGAATCTGAATGTTAACTGTAAAAAAAATAAGTCCAATTATAAGTAAAATACGGAAAAATGAAAATAAACATTTTCAAAGTTTTGCTCTGGATATTGTATTTTGGTCATAAACAAGCTTTTGTCCAAATTTCATAAAATTCCATGAAGGTTTGACAAAGATATAGATGTCTAAAAAACTTTTAACCACAGACTGAACCTAAATGTTGACGCCGCCAACCCTGACATTGGAATCTAGGATCGCAATGTCTAGCTTTCGCAACATAAATGTCGCAGGCTCGACAAACAAAACGATACTTTTGACAAAAAATATTTAATTTCATGAAAAGTTACTACATGTATCAGATCAAGGGAATTCGAATATTCATTCAAATTATTAATAATGATTTTGTAAATCAGATTTGACAACAATATCGGTTTCGTTCACACAAATTCTGGATTAAATGACAGTGACATACCACTTGAGGATAGGCAGTTTGACATCCGAATTCAACTAACATTAGATTTGAGCTCAGAATAAATATACATGTAGGTGATGACGAAAATGCATATTCTAATCCAGAATATGAGTGTGCATGCTTTTCATTTTCTATTTCTTGAGCAAGAAAACAATGTGCATGTATAAATTTCACTCACGGAATGTGAATTTTATCATTTATTATTTAAATTCAGGACAAGAGCTTGACATATAACTTTGAATCATGGTCATCATTTTTGTCGAGCCTGCGACTTTTTTCGTAAAAGCAAAACATAGCGATCCTACATTCCGTCATCATCATTGTCGGTGGCGACGTCCACAAATATTCACTCTGTGGTTAAAGTTTTTGAAATTTTAATAACTTTCTTAAACTATCCTAGATTTGTACCAAACTTGGACAGAAGCTTGTTTATAATCATAAGATAGTATCAGGAAGAAAATTTTGTAAAAAAAAAATCCTGTTTATCTGTATTTTACTCATATATGGACTTAGTTTTTCTGCCAGTTAACATAACATTCACTCTGTGGTTAAAGTTTTTCAAATTTTAATAACTTTCTTAAACTATCCTAGATTTGTACCAAACTTGGACAGAAGCTTGTTTATAATCATAAGATAGTATCCAGAAGAAAATTTTGTAAAAAAGAAATCCTGTTTATCCGTATTTTACTCATATATGGACTTAGTTTTTCTGCCAGTTAACATAGTTAACATAACATTCACTCAGTGGTTACAGTTTTTCAAATTTTAATAACTTTCTTAAACTATCCTAGATTTGTACCAAACTTGGACAGAAGCTTGTTTATAATCATAAGATAGTATCCAGAAGAAAATTTTGTAAAAAAGAAATCCTGTTTATCCGTATTTTACTCATATATGGACTTAGTTTTTCTGCCAGTTAACATAGTTAACATAACATTCACTCAGTGGTTACAGTTTTTCAAATTTTAATAACTTTCTTAAACTATCCTAGATTTGTACCAAACTTGGACAGAAGCTTGTTTATAATCATAAGATAGTATCAGGAAGAAAATTTTGTAAAAAAAAAATCCTGTTTATCTGTATTTTACTCATATATGGACTTAGTTTTTCTGCCAGTTAACATAACATTCACTCTGTGGTTAAAGTTTTTCAAATTTTAATAACTTTCTTAAACTATCCTAGATTTGTACCAAACTTGGACAGAAGCTTGTTTATAATCATAAGATAGTATCCAGAAGAAAATTTTGTAAAAAAGAAATCCTGTTTATCCGTATTTTACTCATATATGGACTTAGTTTTTCTGCCAGTTAACATAGTTAACATAACATTCACTCAGTGGTTACAGTTTTTCAAATTTTAATAACTTTCTTAAACTATCCTAGATTTGTACCAAACTTGGACAGAAGCTTGTTTATAATCATAAGATAGTATCCAGAAGAAAATTTTGTAAAAAAGAAATCCTGTTTATCCGTATTTTACTCATATGTGGACTTAGTTTTTCTGCCAGTTAACATAACATTCACTCAGTGGTTAAAAGTTTTTCAAATTTTAATAACTTTCTTAAACTATCCTAGATTTGTACCAAACTTGGACAGAAGCTTGTTTATAATCATAAGATAGTATCAGGAAGAAAATTTTGTAAAAAAAAAATCCTGTTTATCTGTATTTTACTCATATATGGACTTAGTTTTTCTGCCAGTTAACATAACATTCACTCTGTGGTTAAAGTTTTTCAAATTTTAATAACTTTCTTAAACTATCCTAGATTTGTACCAAACTTGGACAGAAGCTTGTTTATAATCATAAGATAGTATCCAGAAGAAAATTTTGTAAAAAAGAAATCCTGTTTATCCGTATTTTACTCATATATGGACTTAGTTTTTCTGCCAGTTAACATAGTTAACATAACATTCACTCAGTGGTTACAGTTTTTCAAATTTTAATAACTTTCTTAAACTATCCTAGATTTGTACCAAACTTGGACAGAAGCTTGTTTATAATCATAAGATAGTATCCAGAAGAAAATTTTGTAAAAAAGAAATCCTGTTTATCCGTATTTTACTCATATGTGGACTTAGTTTTTCTGCCAGTTAACATAACATTCACTCAGTGGTTAAAAGTTTTTCAAATTTTAATAACTTTCTTAAACTATCCTCGATTTGTACCACACTTGGACAGAAGCTTGTTTATGATCAAAAGCTAGTATCTAGAAGGAAATTTTGTAAAAATTTATTTCCTGTTTTTCCGTATATTACTTATAAATGGACTTAGTTTTATTCCAGTTAACATTACGTACAGTCTGCAGTTTAAGTTTTTAAAACATTTATTAGATTCATAAACCTTCTTGGATTTTTACCAAACTTGAACAGAACTTCTTACAATCAAAAGATAGTATCTAGAGGAAAATTTTTAATAATTTTTTCCCCATTTTTGTTGAGCCTGCGACTAACAACAAATGTAGGCGAGACACTGGGTTCCGTACAACCCTTACGAATTTTTTGAGTAACTGTGCATGTTGTATTATAAACTTTTAAAATTATCTAAAAACTATGGATTTTCAACCCCAAGTATAGATTAACTAGCTGTATTTGGCGAAACCTTTAGGAATTTTGGGTCATCGATGCTCTTGAACTTCGTGCTTTATTTTGCCTTTTTAACTTTTTTGTTTAGTGCTTCACTGACGAGTCTTTTGTAGACGAAACAAGTGTCTGGTGGGCAAAGTATTAATCCTAGTATCTGTTTAACCATTTTTAACCCTGATGCATTTTTTGGTCTATTTTTAATTGTTAGTATATAAGAGGTCCTAATGAAGCTGGTGTGTTACTCTGAAGAACAAAATACAAAACCTTCTTACAATGCATTTTCGTCATCACTTATATTTATTCTGGGCTCAAATCTAATGTTCTAATGAATTCGGATGTCAAACTACATATCCTCAAGTGGTATGTCACTGTCATTTAATCCAGAATTTGTGTGAAAGAAACCGATATTGTTGTCAAATCTGATTTACAAAATCGCAGCATCACAAGTTGCATACCACAGAGTTACACTTCACATGGAAATTGAAACTTTTAAATTTCTCTATATCACCTCTACCATGAGAACAAACAGCCTCAATAGTGAATATAAGAAAAGATGAAAGCATCCACTTCTGGAAACAAAATTTAAAGATATGAAAGATAAAATAAATGCATTTAGATTATAAAGCAAATTGAGTGCTGACATTTATTGAGATTGGTCTGTGCAACTTGCTTTAGACATCCTGTTTGCAGAAACTGGGAATTGCAATAGGATTAGGACATTGTATATTAAGCACCAAAAAAAATGATGTAAACTCCCCACCTTTAAAACAACAACAATTTTTTGGTGACCAGTCAGCGTTGTCATGTTCACATATTGCTTTTCTTTTTTTAAAGAAAGCAACTTTTTTTTTTTCAATCAGATTTCGGATCCAGGATTTTAGGAAAAGGGGCTAAATTGTCTGTTATAGTTAAGATAAGGCTGATTGTAGCAACTGCACCTGGCATATTCAAAATGAAATTACAGTTTTTCTGAACAAAAGTGGAGTGTGCAAACAATGTAAACAATATTCATTTACCAACTTAAATTTCCAATTTTCAATAGTAGCAACAAACTATTTTTTCACTTCCTTTCTGAAAGAATTTTTTTCATTCAAGAAATATAAAAACAAACATCCCCCACAAAAGATCAACAGATGAATGGTTGGTACCTTATTTAATACAAACGCGATGTAAGGATAAAGATAAAATTATTAATTAGTTACATACTCAGAAGATAGCCTTCATAATAGATAAGAAGTATAAATGCATTCACTAAAAGTGTTGTCAGCTAATGTGATCTACCTAAGACTTTGAGTAATTGTGCTCTAAAATAGAATTCCTTGACTCCTAATGAACATGCAGTTCATTATAACAGTATGACAGTAGGATCACATGTCCTGTGCATGCAGTGTTAATAGTATAATAGATTTATTATGTCTCGTCTACCTGAAGTTTTTGTAAACTGCCTACTTTGAAAGGCATTATTACATGTTTACATTCCTGTAGTCAATTATGTATGAAAACATTCAATTTCATTGGTTTTAACCCCCCAGGATGTGCAGGATGTGAAACATCATTAGAGTTTGTGGATATAAATGAATAGATGCAATGTATGAAAATCCATAATCACCATTTTATCCACAGCACAGTCACAAAAAGACAATAAAAACAATAATATTTCCATGTTTGGCAGCTACTCATGTACTGACAAAAAATGACAGAGCTAGGCTCAGTATTGCAAAACAATAGTCTTCATAAAAATCCATCTTTTTAACCCGCAATTTTATTCTAATAACATATCTTTAT